TAGTTCCCAAAGTGTGGCTGCATATTAGAATCATTTGGGAATTTTTTAAGTGTCAGTGCTCACTCAGGCCACACCCTAGACTACAATGCTTGAGCTGGGAGCCTGGCACCAGTATGTTTTAAAGTTCTCCCAAGTGACGCCAATGTACAGCAAAGTTTGGGAAGTACTGATCTATCCTATGGTTTATTATGGGAATAAAGATATGACTGGGAACAAAAAGAGCAATTAAACTTGGTAATGGTCTCAAACCATCAGAGCAGCTCTAGTGTTCAGCTAAATGATAAATAATAAAAAACTGTATGACTGGATCACTAGCACCCTCATTTATTTACCACCCAGAGGAAAGCAAGCTGCTTCTTTTTACAAGGGAAAATTGACTAAAAACAGAAAAAAATGGAAATGGATGCAAACACTATTATTCTAATGAGATGAATCTCCAGGGTAACCTTTATAATGCCTGGGTATTTATGACCCAGTCGGGACTTAAGGGTCTTTTTCAACTCTGAAATTTTTAATTTAAGCCAAATTTCTTAGAGGAGGCAGGAACAGTTCTTCATAGGTTTCAGTTGCTCAGTCAATAGGCTTACCTTGTACTGTGCTTTATAATTGTTAAAAGTGCTTTCACATTTTCAAGTTCATCTCAACTTCTAAAGCTGGGCAGAAATTGCAATACTCATACTCCTGTTGAGGAAACTGAGGGCTCAAGATATTAAAAGTTGGTTTAAGAGTTGGAACCATTTCTGGTGAACTGCTAGGACAAAATACTGCCTCTTCCCACACCTCAGAGATTCACTCTTTGAGCCTTAACACCCTCTCCCAGAGAAGTGATTTTCCTCAGAAAAAAAAAAGCACTTTCTTTTACACGTCTGTTGTGTTGAGGAAGGAGAGGCGGGGTGGTGCAAGCACTGTGAAGAGATACAAGTACAAAAGGGGCCTCGAGGAATTTACAGGGCCCGGGAGAACACATGAGCACATAATGTACTCATAGCAATGGAAAAAGAGAGGCAAGTGACAACTATGTGAGGTTAGAGTTGTTAAGGAGCAAATGAAGAGCCATTCATAGCTTCTTGGAGGTATTTACTCGAGTTGGCCATCTAGCTCCTGCTGTGACTGACCTAGATGGCTTTGCTTTCTTTAGGTTATGTTACCTTGGTACCTAAACCTGAGCCACCTTCAACTTCATACTTGTTCTCAGCTTTAGTGTATCTGTCTTGTTGGTGACCAAAATGTATACTCATGTCCTGGTTTTCCTCACTGATGCTCAGACTAGCCTTTGTCTCTTATTCTTTTCAGGAACATTCCTCATTGCATTTATTCCAAACCTTCATATGTCCCTCAAGGCCAGGATTCTGGACTCTAGAACGAACCTTTTCCATTCTGTCAACCAAACCTATCGTTTTCCCACATTTGAGGAGGCATCTGCCTTCTCTTGTCATTTTGTTTCTGACTAGGTCCCAAAGAGCAGGATTTTACATCTATCTATATTAAACTATTGTTTTAGTCATCTCATCACTTATCAGTTTGACTCCTGATTTTGTCATCTAGTTTATTCTCAACCCTTCCCAGCTTAATGCTGCCCAAGACAGTGACGAGCTTTCCTTCTACTTCCTTATTGAAACAACTGTTCAGATTGAACATCTGAAAGACATGAACAAGACAGATCTGCAAACAATGCTTTGAAACTACCACCAGACTTATAGTTAATCTAATCATTCTGCCAATTAAGGGGTCACCTAATTAAATGTTCTTTCATTCTACACGTAAGTAGCTAACAAATCCAAAAGTAGATGATGCCTTGAAATGCCATCAACTAGGTTTCCTGTTTTGCTACAAATATTTCCTCTATGCTTTCAAGTACTTTCTTTTCTGTTCTCTTTAATTTTGCTGTTACTATCCTAGTCTATTCCCTCTGTACCCCAGGCCTGTACAACTCAATGTTTTAACTGTTCTGTTTACATCCCTACCCTCAGTCTCATCAATCACCAATCCATCCGACACACCCAAAACCTTCCCAAATCGCCACTTTGCCCACCTCCGCTCCAGGAAAATGTTTTAAGATACCTTTTCTTAACAAAGATATCTTTAAGATTATAAACATCAGCACCTAATTTTCACAGACCAAGGGGAACCATTTATAAAGCAAACAATATTAATATAAAATGGTATCAAGACAGTAGTTTAAAAATGGATACAACTTTCTTATTTTAAAAACGGATCATTTAAAATGCCATGTGCAACAGGGCTCAATATTACAGCATTAAGAATTTTCATTGGCCGGGTGTGATGGCTCATGCCTGTAATCCCAGCATTTTGGGAGGCCGAGGTGGGCGGAGAGGTCAGGAGATAGAGACCATCCTGGCCAACATGGTGAAACCCTGTCTTAGCCGGGCATGGTGGTGCACACCTGTAGTCCCAGCTACTTGGGAAACTGAGGTAGGGGAATTGCTTGAACCCAGGAGGAGGAGATTGCAGTGAGCTATTATGCCACTGCACCCTAGCCTGGCGGCGGAGTGAGACTCCATCTCAAAAAAAAAAAAAAAAAAAAGGAAAATATTGTTTAAAGACAAAATAATTCTTCACAAAATAAAAAGTTAATTGAAAGTAAAACACCCTATTCTTTAGTCTCACAAGTTCCAAAACCAAAAATGCAGAGATGCAGAGTGTCTCACTAATGTTATATTTATTTTCATTCCAAACTAGGAAACAAAGCAACAGGTTAAATTACTGGGACATCTTGGGATATCTCTAAGACTTTGAATAAACATACCCATCTTAAAAGCACTAAATAATGAAATTCTCTATTCAAAATGTGCTATTAAAAGCACCATTCTACCGAGTTTATCTTTGGCTCTTTGGCTAGAGGAGGTCTGATCATGAGGAAAGCTTGGATTATGCATCTTAATAGATGATTTTGCCTCAATCTTTTGAGCTATTCTCCAGGAAGGCTGTGAAGATTCTTAAGATCCTCTCAGAAGCATTTGATACCAGAAAAGTGCAATAATGGAAACACTTAAGAGTTAAGCAGAAAATTTTAACTGTTCAAAAATTTGGGCCCTGATTCAGGTTAACAAGATGCTAGTCCTGCAGTAAAGACCAGTGGCTACTGGTTTGGCCTCTTGAAATGGTCTGCCTCAAGTGTGAATCCCAGGTCTACTACCTAGCCATGTGACCTACAGCAAGTTACCTGAACTCTTTAAGCCTATTTCCCTGCTGCAAAATGGCAGAATGTTTACCAGGTTGCTTACATAATCCATGTAAAGTGCTTAGTATATACCAAGTACTCCATAAATACTAATTTACGTTGTGACATGTCCCTTTCAATAATAGCTAACAAAAGTATCAGTGCTTATAACTAATGATCTGAAAATGTATTTGGAAAAAATGAATCCTTAATCCTAGGGATTCCCTGCACTGAACCCAAACCCAGACTATGTTTTACTGATCTGGGAACTTGTTTTCCTAGGATGCAGTGTGGTTAAGCAAGTTGTGCCAGAGACTGATTCTGCATAAGCACACACGCACATTTTCTTAACTTTGATTCCCTACTTTGGAACAATTATTATGCTGTTCAACAATGATACCTTAAACTAACAGAATACAGATTTAACATGCTATTGAAATACTTTAGTAGGAAAAAATGTTATCAACAGTTCTTAGATGTAAAGCATAAAAGCAAACTCAATGGCGAGTTTAAGGAGTAAAGCTATCAATTGGTTGAAAAAGCAACTATTTGCATAAAGCTAATTTCCTTTTTTTCTTTGAGACAGGGTCTCACTCTTGTCCAGGCTAGAGTGCAGTGGTGTGATCACAGCTCACTGCAGCCTCAAACTCTTGGGTTCAAGAGATCCTCTCACCTCAGCCACTCTGGTAGCTACGACTACCTGCAGGTACCACCACTAGATAATTTTTTAATTTTATTTTTGTTGGGAGGGGGATCTAGCTTTGTTGCTCAGGATGGTCTCAAATGATTGTCCAGCCTTGGCCTCCCCAAGTGCTAGGATTACAGGCATGAGCCACAGTGCCTGGTCTGGTTATTTCCTTTGTGACACATACTGATGAGAAAAGTACAGAAACACAACCACCAATTTTCTGACCACATGAAACAGTCTTTATGGTATAAAAACACTTATTCTAAAAGAAAGATTATTTTTCAGATTTTTAGTGAGGTGGTGTAATTATGCTATTAAGAGTATCTTTTATTTTGGTCTACAAATGAATGTTAACAGACTAATTAAAACAGATAAAAGTTGATGGGGGTTTGAGTATAAGAGTCTTAAAGTACCACAGGTTAAAGAAAGAAGGCAGCTGCAATAAGACACAATCTTGAAGGCATGGGGAAGGAACAATGTCAACATGCAAAGGTTTAAACTCCCCTTTCTTTCTCAGCTAAATTTTACAAAGAGAACCTAATTCAAAATTCAAGTCTAATACATTATATAAACCCAATTTGACAAAATGGAAAATATCTTTCGTGTCACAAATATGGTACTTAAGTATACTCGATAATTTACTAATGATTTATACTAACTGAAAAATATGGTATTCATCATCATTTAAAGTTTACTCAGTATTTCAACAACATTGCTAGTTTATATTAATAATTTATTATAAAAAACTACTAATGGTAATTTTATTAATTTCTCCCATAGAGTTCAGATAACTGGTATTGACAAGTATGGAAAATGAGAAAAAATAAGCTCTTAATAGCTAATGTGAAAAACTAATCTGTACTAAAACCAGCAGATTGCATTCCCACAGATTGCAGAAATGATCTATTGTGCTATAAGGGTTGAAGACAGTGGGGTAGGAGAGTAGGGACAATGTACCCACTCTCATTTTAGAGGGACAATGTACCCACTCTCATATTAGAAGAGTGATTCACTGTAACACAACCATAACATTTCAAGTACATTATAGAATTTTCAATTAGATTTCTAAAATTTAAAGTAGAAAAAATTCCAAAATATTTTCCAATCAATATCCAAAAAGTTCAGTCCCCATTCAGAAACAGATAAACAGTATATTTATTAAATGAGTTAAGACAAATAAACTTTACAAATAGACAAATAATAAAAGGCTCAGTGGCTAAAATAGATGGTAAGCATCATTGAAAGAAATCAACACCATCACGGTATCTCAGTTGGCTTACACGTGTAAAAAGAAATTTTCAAAGAGCAATTTCACAGAAATGAAGCCAGTTTTTTTCTTATAAACAAATCACCAATTCTTGGTTCAAAACTGACATCTGTTATGAAAATTACCATATCACATATTTGTAAGATGACAAGGAGTAACTCATCTTCAAAGTGCAAGTAAGTCTATTTACAACCACAAAAAAGGCAATGATGAGGAGAAAAGGATTTTTAAAAAATATACAAAGATTAAAAACATTTGGGATGCAAAATTAAACAATTTTTTGGTTAGAGGATAAGAGAAAAAGTGATTGAATTACAGATTTCAACTATACATACTTTATAATGGGATCCAAGATCTTTAACAGCTTGCTTGCATTTTTTTCTACTTACATAATGCTCTGGAAATTTCTGGTAGAAATTACAGTGTCTCAAAGAGAGAAATACACACTAAGCATGTCTTGCTACTACTTCATGGATGTCATAAGACCCGTTTATGGATTAGAGTTGGTGTAGAAAGCCATTGCCTTGAGTTGAAAAATGAATACTGTAAAAGCTCAATACAAATCCTCCAAAGCACATGCACTTCTAAATCTTTTGGTAATTACATTCATATTTAAGCATAACCAAAATAAAAAAGAAAACTGAAAACATTTCCCTTTTCTCTATTCCCTATGCCTTGTAGGCTCTCCAGTTGATAGGGTCAATTTTTAGAGTTGAAAGGGTTCTTCGAGATAGTCCACCACCCTTATTTAGGGTAAATGATTTTCCCAAGATCATGCAGCACATTAATGGCAAAACCAAGACTAGAAACCAGGTCTTGACTCCTAGTCTAATATGCTTTCCAGCATATCATGCTACCTCTTTTTTACAGTATGATTCATTATAAATACCTGATGAATAAATGTACAATTACAAATGCTGACAGAGCCAATGTGTTTCTAAGACTTGCAGAGGATTACTGCAAAGATTTGATGGTGAGAAAAAGATTTCCCCCACCCACCAAAAATATCAAGCACCATCAACTAAATGTTTCTTTGCTGGGTCAGCACTCTCAGTTATAGTAGTAGTCCTCGTAAACTTTATGTCAGCCTGAGGATTGTGTATCTGGTGAAATCTGGGCCCTAACACATGCCAGTTTCTAAAGGGTAAAGACAGAGGCAAAAAAGGGAAGAAGGTAGACAAAGGAAAGAAAAAGAGAGCTAAAGAATCCAATTGGCTTAGAGGTGGGCATTCTAGCATATGGTTAATTATTGCATCTAAATATATCATTTTAGAACCTTTTCATGTAATCTCATTTTATCTAATCTGTTATTTGGCCACTTAAGAATTAAAATAAATGTATCAAAGACAATGGTGGTCATTATTATGTGTTTTACCTGTGAGACTATTTTAGATAAACCAAATTCAATGAAGAGTATGTCAAATGGCAAAATTGTGTTAATTTTCTTAATCTGATTCTATTAGATTACCAGCAAGGAATTAAAGCGGTACTTCATGGGGCTGTTACCATCTTGAAATTTATTCCAATTGTGGTCAAAGAGAACAGAATGATGCACTGTATATGTAGAATTGAGAAAAGAAGCTGAAATGTCTTTTAAAAAAACATTGCCATGAATTTATTTAATAAAAGGGCATATTTATTTATGTTTACAAACAAGTTTCAAAAACAAAAGGAAAACATGTATGCTTCTACTTATTAACCTTTTTCAAAATGCCAACAGCCCTCATGCTGTGTGAAGGTCTCTAAAGATTAGAAAAATCAATACAGTTCACTCACAGTTCACCAAGACATCACTGAACTAACATGTTTAGACAAAAACAAAAAGGACTAAGGTTCTCTTGTAGTTTGATAGTTTGATTTAATTTGATTTGCCTGAAATAACAAAAGCATTTCAAGCATCTTTCATTATGTAGTTGATGTCCTGCATTAAACAATCTACTAAATTCTGAACAAAAGGTTATTAGCAAGTTTTCAAAAATTTTAAAAATTAAACAGTTGCTTCAAAACCATTAAGTAGTAAATGTATTTAAGAAACTAATTAGGACAGATGTCATAACTTCATTTAGAACACCACTGCTCATGTTTTTTTGTTTTGTTTTGTTTTTTCATTTTTTTTAAACAAAGCATTAGTGTTATCTATTTGGCTATTAGTATTAGCAATTTATCTACAATATTTAACAAGGTAAATTGTAGGCAAAAATTTAGTACAGTTTCAATAGAAACACCCCTTTTTTTTTTTCCTGAAAATACAGCAGTATTTGAAGGACTAATTTTTCTCTGCATCAGTTATAAGGAAGCTTCCCATCTATGAACAGGAACAAAAAAAGTATCTACAAACCTTGTAAACAGATCTGTATCATTTATAAACATAAATAATCCAAATTATTAACAGCCAACAGCAGAAATTAAAGTATCAATTCAACGATCCAGGGCTCTTTGTCTTGCCCAGTTTTACTCCTCCCTCTCTCCCATCCAGGACTGAGATAAACTAAAGCTCTGCTAATACACTGTTCAGGACCATGCTTGGGTTCTACTGATGATCCACGGGTCACTTACGCTGAGTTACTGTTTATCTGTCAGTTCATTTCTCCCACCCCCCAAAAAGCACCCTCAGTCTGGCAGAAAGCTTTGCTTTTTTTTTTTTAAAAAAATAAATCTACATTCGTACAAGTGTGTCTTCTGTTGAAGTCCAAAGACAAGAATACTAGCTTGTCCATCACAATATGTGAAAAGACCCAGTTTCGATTTGTTTCTTTACAATGCAGCTAGTGTGTTAACATTCAGCTTACAATCAGAGTGATGTTTCCAAACTATGTAGTGGGCTTCCTGGGGATGAAGAGGTAGCAGACTTGTTCATTTCTATTGTAAGGTGAATTCCACTGTCAACAGCATTGTTATTTTTGTTGGGAGAGGGTGGAGGACTGGAGTTACGTTTTGTAGGAGCATCATCTTCAGCATCAGTGTCATCAATAAGGGGGATATGAGGCTCTGAATCTTCTATCCTAAACTCAGGATGTGTCATAAAGTTGTGAATCGAACTTCTTGATTCCGGTTTTTCTAACCCTTCATATAAAGAACTACGAAATGCATTCACCACTCGAATCTGTAAATATCAGAAAACACAGAAAGATGTCAGTACACTATTAACAACTTCAAAATGGTTCATTTATGAGTTTGAATCCACAAACAGCTAGGTATGAGTGAATCATATTTGCATGTAATGCAGTGGAACTTGCAATACACTGTAAAAAAATGAATATTTTAGTAAGACACTACAGAACAACAAAACCACATACTCTAAGAATTAAGAGGTAAATAATTCAAGTAATATTAAGAAAATCTCATTGTCATTGGCTAAAAATTTAATAGCCATTTTATAGGATTTTTTCCCTAAAAGAACAAAATCAAACAGAAAACAAAACAAAAACTTAACCATACACAAGCTTAGCTGATTTTTTTAAAATTAAAAATAATGCATTTTGAAAACAACTCAAATAAGTTAAACAAATCAAGCACAAAGGGTTACTATTTATCATGCTAGGAATTAGGGTGTCACCGACCATGAAAAAGCCAAGCAAATATAAGCTGAATGCCACAATGAACTCACATCTACCCCACTACTCCCTTAATTAAAAAGAAAAATAAGAACAAAACCCAAATAAATGTCTATAAAATGCCATTAAACAGCTATAAATATTTGAGTATATGCCATTTGTCTATCATTTGTCTATAAAGTGTTAGTGTTTTTCTCTGTAACAGATTAAAACAAATCAATTACTACAGTTATCTGGAAAGAATAGATCAAAAACAAAAACAAATCCTCTGGGATTCTTCTGTGAAAAATTTCCCAAGAAGACACAAAGTGTTAAAAGGTTTCTAGTATTTTCACCCCTAAATAGATAGCTCAACAATTCATCTTCCTTCTCAGTCTGCTGTATAAATGAAAAAGGTTAATGGGCAATGAAACTTAAAAACATCAGTGCACACACTGACATTCAGTGCTATTAATTCAAGCGTCATTCACATTTAGGAAAAAAAAAAGGACAAAATCCAAGTAGTTGAGCATTTACCACATATCAATTCAAATACAGTGTTTGCTTTTGCTTTGATTCTAATAAATCCTGTTTCGTAATAAAGACATCATTTACTCATTGTTAAGAGAAGTAACACTGACATTCTAGAAAAAAGATGCAGTCACCAAATTCATCTCATAAGATAGCAATAATGAATAAATCAATACATTTCTTCAAATGAACATGTGAATGCATTTAAAAAATGTGATGTAGAGTTTAGGGCCATGAACCCACATCTCACCTTCAAGTTGTCTTTCCTTATTTACCAAGCCCTATTTGTAAGCTGCTTTAGTCCATATTCACTTAGCCCTTTATATAGAGAGTACAGCATAGTCAACTGAGAAATACAAAAGCAAAATGTCTGGGTGTAAATTCCAGCTCTGCCACTTACTACCTGAGGAACCTCGGTCAAACAGGTTTCTTCAACTATAAAATGGGAAATAGCAATGGTACTTGCCTTACGGGGTTGTTGTGGGAGATTAAATTCGTTAGCACACTACAAACTAAAAACAGTGTTAGGTCACAAGTATCGAGGCCAGGGCTTCTCGAACTTTAATGTGCATATAAATTAGTTGGGAATCTTGTTAAAATGCAGATTCTGATTCAGCAGGGGCCTGAGGTCCTGCATTTCTAACAACCTCCAAGGTGATGCTGAAGCTGCTGGCCCATGATCCACACTTGGAGCAGCAAGCCATCTACTCTATAAAGTCTTGCAACTTTACCATCTTTCACAATTCTATTCTATTCGATTGCTTGTACTTTAGTTCCTTAATTTGATAGATGAATAGCAGCAAATATTTTTCAATTTCTTTTATTGCTCTTGTTCCCCTTCCCCTTTACTAAGATGTAAAGTGTTCTACATATGGAATGTAAACAATGCTTGAAATATAACGTTATAGTAATTCATTCACTGTTTTATTGTGAAGTCTTAAAATTCACATTTTATACATGTGAACATTCAGCAAGTATCCTGACTGTCCTAATAACAAACTGTAGAGCTTAAAATGCAAAAAGATAACTTCTTAAAAAAAAATCTGTTGGTATCAGCAGCCTGTAGGCACGGAGAAGAATACAAACCAGAGAATCAGCTAGCAAACTTGACGGGTGATGAGAACTGTTCAAGACAACCCTGAAGATGTTGCTTGTTTGATAAAGTTGCTGGTGCTGCAGATACTGAAGATAGAACAACAGTTAAGCTTTCTGTGTATGTGTGTGTTTTCTGTCTTTCTTTGTAATCAGTCTGGGTATAAAAGTGAGCAGTGAAGAATTGGGGGAAATAAATCTACTTTTTAAACATGTTAAATTTGGAAAATATGTAGAGCTCAGAAGAAAGGTATAAACTTAAGTTAGAGATTTGAGTTAGTGAAGCTCTAAGAGGGGCAGAGTGTAAAGGTGAGGGCAACAAGTGTATGTGCACACACAATTACACACACACACCAGTGGCAGGCAAAATCAGATTAAATTCCTTCTTAGCAAAACTTCCAATTCTGCGAAGATTTTTCCTATCTGAAAGAATTTACTGAAACAATATTAGAGATTTTTTTTTCTAACCACTTCATAAATAATAAAACTGAGCAACAGAGAGGATGGGTGGCTGACTTGTTAAGGAACTCCTAATTAGTGCTAAAGAGTCTTAAAACCTAGGTTTCTGGGCTCCCAATTCCAGGTTCCTTGGAAGTCAAGAGAAGACAAAAACATGCGAACATTTACTTTATCACCAACTTCACTTGAATAAAACATTCCATAAGATTAAGATTAATGCTTCCTTTGTCTGACACATCTATTTAAGCCACATGACTAGTTAGTTTCAGCACGTTACTAGGCCAGCTCAGCAATGCTCAAAAGCAATTCAATTTTCAAAGAACAGTTCTTGAGATACATACAATAAAGCTCAGATTAACCAGGAATCATCAAACCAGACTTCTTTTACTTTCTACTTATAAAGAACATAAGAAAGCACTCTTGATCCAAGGCATGGCACTGAGCTGGATTACACCTGCTCTGATCTTTATTACTTTCTGTATGTAAAATACTCACAGTACAATAACTGTGAGGAAAATAATTTTGTGCACAATACTTAGGTAGGAAGGAAACTATATTAATACCATAAATAATTCGATTTAAGCAGAAATATAAGTAAACTTAAATACAGGCTTTTGTAAATCCAAGCCTATTTATTTTATCCAGTTTTAAAATTCAATTCCTATTTATTATCTATTTAAACCTACTCTGTGGAGCATACTTACACCCCTCGAAATTATCAGAATTAAGAAAAATTCAGTAATTCTTATGTCAAAAATATTCTGTAAAATTAAATTATTCAATGGAGAAAAAAACTCCCAAAAATACTGCATAAGCATATATGGTAAACAAAAAAAAACTGAAGTGATTATCATAATCATGAAGTAATTTTAAGAAACTGAAAATGATTATCAAGGTAAACAATATATGAAATAATAACAAATCAAGATCATGTACCTACAAAACCAATTTTTGTAAATACCATCCTAACTTTTGATAGCAGAAAATAACATTGTTTACTGCCCAAAATATTGTACAGAAGAGAGAGCTCTAAAATACTAATCATAAGCCAATAAATCTTACCTTCTACAACAAATTGCCCACTTCTGAAATTTGTTTTCACTATTACTTTTCTATGTGCACTAACTGCAATGGCACAGTAGAAGATACTCTGCAACTAGAAACAAAATGCTAGATTTTGTTTTCCAAAGTTGGATACTTGCATATTAAACTATCTCAAAAGGAGACCCACCTGTGTAATGTCTTTATCTATCTGGAACAGGGGTTGGTAAACTTTTTCTGTGAAGTGCCAGACAGTAAAATATTTTAGGTTTTGTGAGTCATACAGTCTGTCACAATTATACACCTCTGCCCTTATAGTGAAAAATCTGCCACAGGTAATACTTAAATGAATGGGCAATGTTGCATTCCAATAACAACTTATTTCCAAAAGTAGGCACCAGGCTAGATTTGGCCCATGAGCTGTAGTTTCCTCCTCCTTCATCTAGAAAACCAGATTTTCTCTCAATTTCTCATTTCCAGGAATGTGTAGTTATTTATTCAGGAAAAAAAAAAGCCTACTAATGGTAAAAACTGGTGTTAGAATGATACACTTTATAAATAGAAAAAAACTACAGAATGTTTTCTCTAGAGACCTGTAAGAGTGAAGATCTGACTAATAATGAAGGGGAAAAGGTCTCTTCAGAGATGTTTGAGTCTAGCATTTGACAAAGTTGAAATCGATTCTTTCTTCTACTTTAGCTAAGCAAGGTCACCCAATGAAGGTTAAAGAAATGTGACACCCACAGGTAGTTTTAAAACTATTCCATATTAGGGCAGAAACACAGTGATAAAATGAAACCTTTCATTAAATATATTAACATAATTCTATATATTGGCTGATGTTCTGTACCACCTAACACAACGCTCCACCAACAAGGTTGAAAGACGTTTATGGTAACAGCAACATAATTACTGCAACTCTTGGTGTATAATGACAACTGTATTAACAAGATCTGATTTAGTCCCTGGATAACTCCAAGAACATAGGACATAGAATGAAGAAGTAACCATCTCAAACCTTGATAAAGCAACAACTACAAACCTTCCTTTGCTACTCTCTTAAGTACACCTTTACTTCCCTGAAGTATCTGCTCCCCTAGCCACATGGGCTCAGAAACTCAAGAGGTTTCATATGAACAATGCATCAGAAAAAAAGAGCCTGGGGTGGATGTGCAGAGGTGTGTGTGTATATGTGTCTGCCTGTCTGTCTTAAGACAGTTTATGATTGCTTTGATATTTAATATAAAGCTTGGAACACATTCAGACTGAGAAATATAAGTATAGTATACCTAAAGACATCTGATATCCCTCCAAATGAAAAAAACAATTACTTAAAATATTGGTAAATAAAAATGAACAGGATACGCATCACCCATGAGATAAACTTGCCAAAAAAGTGTAATATGAAGCTAACCAGTAGGACTCAATCAGACAAATCTGGAATGTAGAACCCTTCATAAGACAATTCACCTGGATTTTTCAAAAGTCAAAGTCATAAAAAATAAAGGTAAGGAATGAATCCAAGTTGGAGACCAGACTCATAACACACATACTGTCAATAATTATTTTGGATTAAAAAAGTTATAAAGGAAATTTTGGAGGCAACCAGAGAAATCTGAATACTAACTGTCTGTTAGATAATATGGTATCAATGTTAAATTTCTTGGATAATAAAGTATGATTATATATGGGAATTCTTAGGTACATGCTGAAGTATTTAGGGATAAAATGCCGTGGTATCTGCCATTTTCAAATGGCTCAGAAAAAGAGTTATATTAATATACAGATAAAATAGTGTGATAAAATATTAAGTGGTAAATCCAGGTGAAAGATTTTCATGTATTAATTTTTCAACATGTCTGTAGGTTTGAATTTTTCAAATTTAAAATTTTGAGGGAAGGGGGTCTATCAGGATAAAGTCTGAGTTTGGCTCCTTCTTGTGGGGTATAAACAGATGCTTACTTCCATTTCAGCTTTCCTTAGTTTATTACTCTCTCAGTACCAGACTATTATCAATCCCTTAGTTTATTACTCTTTTAGTACGAGATTATAATCACTGAGGCCTCATTTGGTAAATTCTATCAAGGGTCATCTTGGGAGTCACTTCCTTCAGGCAATTTTTCTTGACTTTCCAGGGTAGACTAAGGACCCTGTTATGACAGTTTGTGTTTTACTACCATGTAGAAATTTCTAACTATTTGTTTTTGTCCTCTACTAGACTGCAGGTTCTAGAGGTTCCAGCATAGTTCTGACATATGGTAGGCCTTCCATAAAGGCTTGTAGAACATTTACCATCTAGGGCTAGGTGGTAAGGAGCTCTAGAGAGAGAGGCATAGCTTGAAATCCATAGATACAGGGAGGAAGAGGCATTTTTACTGTACCAGGTGTAAGGCCAGGCAATTTATGGTTACCATTTTATTCAGGTAGGTAATTTTTAAAAGAAAGAGTTTTAGCTGTCCCTGTATGTAAATTTAATATCTTAATGTTAGAGGGTCACTTGAAACACTTGTGTGCACTTTGCTTTACATCATGCGGCCTCTGCTTATTAGCCATAGACAAGTTATTTAAACTCTAAGGCAGTTTTCATACCTGTAAAACAGGGACAGTTCTTACTGTGCCTGTTTCACCACATTTTAAAAAATATCAAATAAAAATATACTTAAGTAAATAGGGAACAAACAGGCATTAAGTAGAAAGTCTGCACTGTTTTCTCCCTTATTTCATCCTCTCTGCAGCTTCTCAAGGTTCCTCTAGTCCTTTGCTGGCTGGAGACCAAAGGGAGAAGATAGGTCTCTGTCTACTTCAAGGCAAACCTTAGGTATCGCTGTAAATTTTTGGGATGAGGTTGGGTTTACATCTTTAATGCCTCCATATTCGAGAATGCACCATGAATTCTCAGTAATATTTATAGCTTATAAGGCCTTTACAAAGTTTGCTATTTACTAAAAACCTAAAAGAAAATGTTAGTCAATTATTGAAAATTACAACATTTGTTGGTTCAACAATTAATCAATAGTATACTTTCCTACTTCTACTGTAACTTAACAGAACATTTCTTATCTATGATGCAATTTTTAACTAAATTGACTATACAAATGGAAAAAAACCACCCTAAACCATAAATACCACAGGAAGTTTTAAAATTTACAGTGATTTCCCCCGAAACCACCCCACAGCCAAACAACAACAACAACAACAACAACAACAACAACAAATCAAAGACAAAGTTCAGGTTAAGAAGGCAAGCAACTGGCTACACAGACTGAAAACTTGTCTTCAGGCTACTAACTTACTTTCCAAATTGGACAAAAGTCAAAATGCTAAGTTTATTCTTAGCTTTGAAAATGCAATTTCCTGGTTCTGTTAGATGAGTTTCAAATCACATGCTTTTAGGAACCATGCAGTATAAACATGTTTAAAGGCATATACTCAAAAATTTATAGTAGTTTCACAAGTTCTAAGCTACAATTTTATTCCCCATATTAACTATCAGTTAGCACAGAGACAAGCTCACAGATTGCATCTAATCTTTGGTTGCAATTGTTCCACCTGTTGTCTAGCCCTCTAAGAAATAAAACAACAATGACAACACTTTGAGGTCTCAATCCACTTTACGAAAAGAAAGCTTTATGAAAAAGCCTGAACAATGAATTCAAACATTAAGGAGAAAATGAGAAACGTTAGGTGTGTGAAGTAGGAAATGTTAATTTCATGCACTTAGGAACACACACTCACACCCCACAGTAGTAGAAGCAGTAGAAGAGGAAAACACTACATGTGTAGGGGTAGAAATATTTGTTACATCATGATGCTGGCTGGCGATGGAGGGTTGCCGCCTTAGAGCCCCCTGAATGGAACTTCCACTCTGGAAAGCATTCACTACATCCATCTGCAAGGAATCAGAGATTGTGACAGCTTGCTCAGCAAGAGAGAGAGAGAACAAGAGAAAGGACCATTCCATCTATCAACATATAAAAAGAAAAAGGCACTTTAACAAAGCTTATAGGCAAGAATAGCATTTTGAGATGAAGTGGGGGGTGGGGGAGCTAGGAAAAAAGGAGCTTAGGGGCATATAGACACATTCTTTCATAATCAGTTAAAAGTCTCACTCATTCCAGGCACCAGGATTACTTTTCAAGAGAATACAATTTGTGGGTTGGGAAGGCTAGAGAGGAAGTTTAAGAAGTACACTCGAATCTCCTCCCCAGGTCAAAAAGCCCTGGCTCCCATCATCTCTCCTACCTCTCTACCAGGCCCATACCTGTGTTTGGATTCTGTTCAGACCTCTAAACCACAAGATTTGGCCACGCCGCAACTCCCTTTCAGCGTGATCAATCTCTTCAACATCCTCCGCTAATTCCTCCTCAGGTATTTCTTCCTTTTGTGTTCCATGACCAGCTTCTTTGAGGAATTTTAAACGGCTAGTTGGAATTGTTGAAATAAGCTACAATACAGGGGAATGAACTTAGAAATAAATCGTATCAAGTAAAGGTAAGCTGATCAACTGTAATACTAAAGGTACTAAAAACAGTCAGAGTATTCGACTATCTTTACCAACGAAGTAATGGCATCCTGTTGATTAGTCTTTCTCTCCCAGAGCAAAACACATTCTTCTCTTAGCTACACAAAAGATTTGAGTTTGAAGGGTAAAAAGTTTTCCTAAATGGAAATTAACCTGATTACATTTTTCACATTTTCATCAGGACATTCAAGATAGTACATTTTAAAACCATGGTCTGATATATGTATTTACTTAAAGTTCTATTTATTTCGAATACAATGAAAATGGCAGCTGGTCTTACTAGATGCAAAACATGTTTACATTTCATTAATGCTGTCAGAGTTCAATGAGAAAAAATGTACAAAAATTTAAAAAAATCATCAAGGTTACACTGAAAATAGTTTTGTTGATTAAGTATTTTTTTAAAATGCAACAGTTTAAAATTAGATTAGTACTGATTGATGATACCAAACAAAAGCAGATGCCCCAGAAAACACAAAGGATACAAGAAACACCAATACACATGTATTAGCTTATGTGTTAACATCCATTCTTTAAGGCAGCAGTTGAGTTTGTCAGGGAGAAACAAGCATGTAGTCAGCTATAGAATTCTGCTTGGAGAACTTCTAGTACACCCACTTCATTTCACCAAGGTGAAATAGGCTTCAAGGCACATAAAGTGACTTGTTCATGGAGTGACTAGGAACCTAGGTCTCCTGACCACCAAAGGCAGTGCTTGTTCTACCATGGTACACTTAGTATGGGTCCTACTTAAAAGATGATCTCTAGTAATGAGGTATTCAAAATGGATAAGAAACCTCCGAACCTAGAAACATAATTAAGAAAAAGAAGAGATAAAAAGATGTAAAGATTGAGCTAAATTTATGGAAACCCTGAAAGTCTGGCTTCACTGATTTGTAGAATGACAATAAATTAGCTTATGCAAATTATATGCCATAAAATATATTAACCTTCATTTATGAAAATGTTAGTATAGATTTTCTATAACTTAGTTTTATAGTAATGGGCTTAAAATGCATAAATCCTTATCACTTACATTTAAAAAATAATGACATGCATTTGCAAGTAAGCTGCCTATAGTAAATATGAGGTATATCTCTTATTTCAGGCACTTTATTTTATACATACACTGTTAAAGCTATTCAATTCAAATCTAAAACATCATTTTGTGACCCCTTTTTCCAGGTAACATTATTTTTATAAAAACATTCTCTAAGGTCAGTTTTTCTTATGCTGCGTATTAGATTAAATTACAGAACAAAATGACAAAGTACGTATACGTATTCCTTACTTTTTTTTTGAGACGAAGTCTCGCTCTTCTCCCCTAGGCTGGAGTGCAATGGCGCGATCTTGGCTCACTGCAACCTCCGCCTCCTGGGTTCAAGCGATTCTCCTGCCTCAGCCTCCCGAGTAGCTGGGATTACAGGCACCTGCCACCACGCCCGGCTAATTTTTGTATTTTTAGTAGAGATGGGGTTTCACCATGCTGGCCAGGCTGTTCTCGAACTCCTTACCTCAGGTGATCCACCCACCTCGGCCTCCCAAAGTGCTGGGATTACAGGCGTGAGCCACCGCGCCCGGCCATGTATTTTCTACATTTTTGTTAAAAATTTTTTTCTGAAAATGTAAAAATAGGTTATAGAGTAAAAGATACAGATATTAGCATCCTAACCAGTTATAAATACATCATTTTTAACAACTGCTACAAAACTTTTCTAAAAAACAAGTAAAAAAAAAACACATAAAAAGTTAGCACAGTATTTTATAGTACAGGCATAATCATAATGAACAAGTGACATACTGGAACTATATACAACATTAAAAAAATTATCTTTGAATTCCTTCTCTTTACTCACCATGTTAACGATTTAGAATCAAGTAATGAAACTGTTAAAGAAAATACACACTAAAAATTAAAAAAAAAAAAAATCACTTTAGGTTTAAGCAAAAACTAATGAGACTTTTACCTGGCCCCAGAGTAACGTTCCCATTCCTAGGAATATTGACCATAGCCACTGTTCTATCGAAAGTTCTGAACAACTGAAAGGTTTTCCACCAAACTGCACAATTATTATCTGGAGGAATAATCAAGAGTAAATTTACTTAAATCTTAAATTTAAAAATTCATATACTTTAAAAAATATCAAATTTATGTCCTCTAAAATAAGGTGAACAACCACTATTCTGATGAAGTGTATTATATTAGTCACAACTGAAACTAAGACAACTGAAACAGACCTTTCCTCTTTCCCCTCCAGGGAAAGGGTTCCCTCTTACAAAAAAAGACAACTGAAATAAAGTAAAATCTTGCCCAATGTTTTTAATGCTTGCGTATTTCATGTTTAAATTATGCTTACTAAAAAGTAAAATTCTTATGACGAAGAAGAAAAACTTTATGTTTCCAATATAACCCCGAGCAACTACATTCCCCTGTATTTAGTACAATTCTTCAAATAATTTATGTCTTTCTCAAAATATAGTACTCTTTTGTAGAAAAGACTGTATGTTACTGGAAAAATATACAATATTTAAAAAATTCCACATAGCTGTTTATTTCTAGTTAACATTTAGACCTATTAAGATAAATACAAACAGACTGTAAGAGAAGAAAGGCAACTTGCAAAGTTCTATGAAATATGGGCTAACTCAGGTGAGGTGATCTCAGATTTGCTCTCCTTTATGAAAAGAGTGAGGCCTGATGATGAACATAAATTCATAATACAGTGCTTATGCTTTGCTTGTTATCTAAAAAGCCTAAAATAGTGTGCATGGAAATATTAAGAATTAACTGGGGTTGGGTGTGACAACTCATACCTGTAATTCTAACACTTTTGGAGGCTGAGGTGAGAGGATCGCTTGAGCCCAGGAGTTCAAGACCAGCCTAGGCAACACAGCAAGACCCCATCTTAATAAAAAAATAAATACTTTTTAAAAAACGAATCAAATAACAATATTCATCCTCCTGTGAGTCTGAAAGGGCGCTCTCTGATATGGCAGTTAAGTAGTTCCCAAATATTAAAATCAAAAATAATTTTGGAAGTTAATATTTTAAAACTTCAAAGTTACAATTCCTTTCTTTTTAGCTCTGCTTCATTCAAATTCAAGTGATTTTTACTTCTCGGTTCCACTATTTTTTAAGTTAATCTGTACAGTTGTACAGATAGATTTCTAACTGCTTTGTTAGTAGCCCAATTAGATAATAACTGATTTGACAATCAGGTCTGGATTTTAGTAGAGATATAAAACTGAAGTAATTTTCTTTTATAAATCAAGAAAATAATGAGCATGAAAAGAGTTCAATATTTATTTGCACAAGTGATCTTAATTATTTTTAAATTTAAACTTGATCTTTTTTTGGTATAATGTGGGATGTAAAAAGAATACTAAAATGCTGGGGAAACAATGTGATTGGCTGACTTTGTTTCCTAAGAAATAGTATCTTTCACTTTATAATTGGAAGAAATAAAACCGTTTGCCTAGTTGGTTGTGGCATTTACTTCTAAGAACAAGAGATTCAGTTCTCATATTCTTTAACATATACCTTAAATCACCAGATCCTATAGATGTCACCAAGGCAACAGTTCCACACATGTTCCACACAAGTGATTGCTAGAACAAGCTCTTTACCTAATGTCTCCCATATAACAGGCAAATTTGAAACTATCTTTTCCAATTACCCACCTGTACCACAAAAGTTCCTAAAACAATTGTGCAGAAGATGGCATTGTTAAAGATTCCTTCAAATACATTTCTTTCACCATGAATTTTCCGGGCATTTATTTCGTTGAAAAGTTGCATCAGCACAAAGGTATTAAAAACAATAGTATAATGTTCTGAAGGAGGTGCATGCAAAGGAGCATTTCTTCCACTATCAATGTCAAAAAACTTTTCTCCTGAAAGAACGAAAAATGACTATTTTGTAATTATCATACCAAGTAAGATTTCAAGGAAGAATACAAAGTAAAACTTAGCTAGACTTTTTATTTTATCTGAAATGGCAGCATGGAAGGAGCTGGAAGAAACCTGGGATTATCTAGTACAACTCTCTTATTTTATAGACAAGGAAACAGAAGCTCCCAAAACTATGGTGATGATCTCAGGATCACATATCTAAATCAGTGGAGAGCCAGGATAAGACATCAGGACCTTTATTCTCCCCCTACTATCTATCTTATTGTCTCCCCAAATTTACTCAGCACTCACTGATACAGAAGAAGAAATTAAAGATAAACGGGAAGTCAGGAATAGAACTTAGGCTCTTGAAAATTTATAACATTATAACATCTTGGATGATTAGCTTGGAAAAGAAACAATTAACTGAAGCTTTATTTATTAGACACTGAATTCTTACCAGCAAATAAGAGTGTAAAGACTACTACAAGTTGATAGAATGCATGACCCAAAATATTCTTCATCATTGTACGTGAGATGAGAGGCTTATTTCTACCATAAGGTTTCCGAAGCAAGAGAGACTCAGTGGGTGGTTCCGTTGCCAGAGCCAGGGAAGCGAGCGTATCCATTATGAGGTTTACCCACAGCATCTGCACAGCCTTAAGCGGTGAGTCCTAGAAAAGATATGTTTCCTAATAGACATTCACAACTACTCAGGGACTCAGCAACTCTCAGGAAGCCTTTAGGGTTTAAAAACTTGAGAAACAGAACAGGATTATATTTTTATATTAACTAACCTAAAACATTAAGCTTCAGCTTAATGTATTTTTAAAAAGGCATTTTATGTACTTTTATTTAAAGGAAACAAGTTTTAATAGACAAATCACCTACTTGAGTAATACAGGCGCCCGTAAAAGCAACAATCACTGCTACTACATTAACAGTAAGTTGGAACTGAAGGAATTTTGAGATGCTGTCGTACACATTTCGTCCCCACATAACCGCTTTAACAATGCTTGTAAAGTTGTCATCTGTGAGAATAATATCGGACGCTTCTTTAGCTACATCAGTTCCAGCAATACCCTGTTAAAAAAATTTTGTGAATTAGACTAAATGTTTTAACTTTCAAATAGTCAAAAAATACACAATTAATAAACAAAAGTTGACAACTATACCTAATAAATATTGACTTAAATTTACATTAAAAGAAGGTAACAGAGTTATTCTAAGATATTACTAGGAAAGACATTCTGGTTTAGCAGAAATCAAACAAAGAATGAAGTATTAAAAATAAGGTTCAAGTTGGGCTAAAAATGGAGGAATGAACAAAGACATCACCCAAGTTCCTTCCAAAAGCCACACAAAAAGGTATATATTAATAAAAAGCAAACAAACTCTATGAAGACAAAGTTAGAGGAAAAGGAGATTCTACCAAAAAAAAAAAAAAAACAAGAAACACTGAAAGCAGACAGCCAAATGCTAAGTAACTCAGCAGACACAAGAAAGCTGAATCGTAATCCATGGGTAGAGAAAGTAGAAGTAGCCCCCTTTCCCCCCGATCACAGAACCCTCCTGCACAGCTTCGGACTTGGTAGATTTACATGGCACTGGAAGTAGGGGTGAAGGTAGCAATAAAAAAAGGAAGATCTTTTGAAAGTCTACTGAAGACGCATTTAGAACCTTCAAACTAGTAACAATGTTATCAACAAGAGAATGGGGCAATTAATAAATTGTAGATTAATAAAATGAGTGAACTACAACTATATTAACATAAATGATCTCACAAACATAATGCTGAATAAAGAAGATGAACCTAACACATAATGTATGATTCTTCTGTACGAAGTTCAAAAACAGGCAAAAGGAATAATCTTCAGGATACTGGTTATCTTTGCAGAGAGATAAGGCAGTAATTAGAAGGGAGTAGGATTCGCTAAAAAATTATCAAAAAGCTAAACCTCATGAACCCTGCTACGGGCTGAAAGTATTCCCCAAATTCATGTGTTGGAAATGTAATCTTCAATCAGCAAAGTGCAGACATGGAAACTCAGAGGTGATATCATGATGAAGGCTCTGACTTCATGTATGGATTAATGCCATTATCTTAGGAGTGGTTTCATTATCAAGAGTGAATTCATTATAAAGGTGAGTTTGACCCCCTCTTGCTTTAGTGCTCACCTGCAATGTTCTCTTGCCCTTCTCCCATGACATGATGCAGTATGAAGGCCCTCACCAGATGCTGGCACCCTGGTTCTTGGATTTACTCACCTCCAGAACCTCAAGTCAAAGACACTTTCATTGTTCATGAAATACTAAATCTTAGATACTCTGTTATCGCAATACAAAATGGACTAAAACCTTTTCTCAAGAAGCAGCTGGAGGAGATGACTCCACCAGATAAGGGAGTAAACCAAAGATGATGATGCAACTGAATTCTTGAAGTACATGATCCAACACAAATGAGAGATAAAGAAAATCCTCAGGTATGGAGACCAAGAAGACAGCTGTGCAGCAAGGCCAGCAAACAGCAAGTGCAGATTAAAGCACGTTGAAAGATGTTAAGAGACGTTATCCCTTAGAAACTAAAACTGGTAAGAATGCTAAAGGTCTCCGATATATGGAACAGATAATTTGGGGATGAATTAGAGTTAAGTACATAGATAAACTAAGCCAAAACAATTCAAACAAACCAAATAAAAATTAAAAGAAAGTAAAAAAGACAACAAATTATAGGGAACATAAAAAGCTGTGTAAGGAAGGAAAAGTAATTACAGTAGACCACATAGATCAGGTTGTAACAGCATTTACAGTCACAGTAAGGACTGAATGTTGATCGAACCTAAATTATGATATAACTCTGCTGGTAGATGATGGGATAGGTGTAAGCATGGAGGTATACGGGGTGAATGTGGTCTATGTGCCTGTAAAAGCACAAAGTCCTCATCTTCATTAATGAAAGTCAGTAGTTAAAGCCTTATATTAAAACAATCAAAAAGCACCAGAATCATGTGATTTAGAGATATAAAGGTACATAACTAAGGAATAGAAGCAGCTAAAACTGTTTTCCTTCAGGAGCCAAAAATTTGGTATGTGGTAGGGGACTTGGTATTAAGTCTTACAGAACTACCTGACCTTTTAAATGCTATGCATACATTGTTTTGATAAACAAGAAGTTCAGATGAAACCTTTCTCAAAATACTCAATGAAGAAACAATCTTATTTTAGAATCTTAGTCTCCAGCTCCCATTGTGAGTATTTTACTTTTAATGTCCCACTTATTTTTTTTTTTTTGAGACAGAGTCTCACTCTGTTGTCCAGGCTGGAGTGCAGTGGCGCCATCTCAGCTCACTGCAAGCTCCGCCTTCCGGGTTCATGCCACTCTCTCGCCTCAGTCTCCCAAGTAGCTGAGATTACAGGCGCACACCACCACACCCACTATTTTGTATTTTTAGTAGAGACAGGGTTTTACCATGTTGGCCAGACTGGTCTCAAACTCCCGACCTCAAGAGATCCACCCGCCTTGGCCTCCCAAAGTGCTGGGATTACAGGCATGAGCCACCACACCTGGCCAATGTCCCACATATTTAACACACTTAAACTCAATGGGATTTCTTGATTCTCATCATACCTATATTATACAAATGCAAATCTCACCATTCCCTTGCTCAAAATCCTTAAAATTTCTAAAAGTAACTCTATGGTGTTAATTAGCATTCAAATAAAATCTAGTTCTATGATGAAACAAGTCTGGAAAACTTTCAATCACAAAAGGTTAAAGTGCTTTTAAAAAACGAGCTTCTAGGAGTTATATGATATCGCATAGTACGTCTCTAAACTTACTTCATCAGAAGTAGGCTTGTCAAATGTTCATCTACAGGATAAGAGAAAAAAAATCCTTATCTTGGCATTCAAGGCCTTTTTAATGTGGCACCCTGTGAATTCTTCTAGCTTCGTATCTCATTACAGTACCACAACCTCTTCTAGTTAGAGTGAACAACTTGTACATAATTCGCTGATGAATGAGGGCCTCTTGGTTCCTCTCCTTCCCTCAGCTAAACTGGCATCTCTTCCAGAAAACCTTTTCCAGTCTTAACAGGCAGAGTCAAGGACTTCTTCCTGAAAAACTTGTCACTATCCTGTGATTATTTCCACATGCTGTGAATTTTCAGGAAACAGCAACTCTTCACTTCTAATGTTTCTGGACTGGAATACTGAACAGTCTCTTAATATTTGGAGTCCCGCATTAATCCAAATAAAGTTTAAAATAAAAGTATTTTAATTACTTTAGGTTTTACTACCATAGATGTATTTGATTATCGGATTACACCATGACATTCAGTCCTTGATGATAGCAATACATGGTTAACTAATTTTTGGCAAGAATAATACGTGACAAGGATTCTCTCCTTTGACCAAAACTTGCTATGCAGGTAATTGTTATACTGTATTATTTAGGGAATATAAGAAAAAGTCTGTACATGTTCACTACAGATGCAACCATCCATATTTTTGTTCTGAATATTTTCTATCTACAGTTGGTTGATTCTGCAGATGCATAATCCATGGATAAAAAGGGCCAAATGGACAAGCAGAACATACACTTTATCTACAGATCAACAAATCAAGAACGTATGCCCCAAAATGCTATATCTGCCTGAAAAATAAGAGATACATTTAGAAAGAAATTATCAACAGCGATTTCTTGTAACTAAAAAAAACTCTAAGACAAGATGTTTATCTTTAAGTTTTAACTGAACAAATGCAAAACCAAAGTAAATTCAAGCTTAAACAAGAGTAGTTTCAAGTCCAAGCTACCAAGCACTTATAGTTTCTCTATGTTTTTGAACTAAATTTATTTATTTGAGACAGAGCCTTGCTCTGTCACCTAGGCTGGAGTGCAGTGGTGTCATCTTGGCTCACTGCAGCCTGTGCCTCCTGGGTTCAAACGATTCTCATGCCTCAGCCTTTTAAGCATCTGGGATTACAGGCATGACCACCACACCCAGCGAATTTTTTTTTTTTTTTTTTTTTAGTAGAGATGGAGTTTTGCCATGTTGGCCAGGCTGTTCTTGAACTCCTGACCGCCTCAGCCTCCCAAAGTGTTGGGATTACAGGCATGAGCCATCATGGCCAGTCTGTTTTTGAACTAAATTCAGACTTTTCACGTTATCATTTAAAAAAAAAAAAAGTGGTAAAACTGGGCCTAAAACCGTAAAGAGCTTAAAAAACACTAACCAACCAGCCAGTGTATTGTGTTTTTGTTTGATTACATTTACCTGTATTTACTTAAAGTCCATTGTCCTTACATTCAAGTTTTGGGAAGAAAGCTTTTTTTATTTTAAAATTCATTTTACATAAATGCCTTTCTGGTCAGCTGTCAGAATGTAAATAGCAATAAAAATCCTGCTAAATGCTCAAGAGCAGCAGTGAGTGATCCTATGTTCCTAAAGGGAACGAGCCTGTTTGCCTAGAGCAAAAGTAAGAGCACTTAATTATTCCATAGACCTCTTCAGCTATGCTTCACATGTCTTCAGAAGCTCCTACCAATGCAGCTGCCAACTATTTAAATTTGGGATGGGGTAGGGTGGGGGATCTTTGGATTCACTGCTTTTGATTGAGGAAAATTTACCCATAATTTCCTTTCCCCATCTCTCTCACTCCTGTTGAAAGGCTGCCACCATGGTAGATCTTCTAAATTTCTATTTTAGCAGCAAAATATCAGGGGGACAAATTATGCAAATAAACATTTGTACACAAAAACAATCTCTCATCTGAAAACCTTAGGGCCAGATTGTGATTCAGAATTCAGTCTCTCATAGTTTGGAAAGATAATGAGACACATAACCTTGTATCTCAATTTTCCCAAAAGAGCTTAGCACCCCATAAAAACCACATTAAAATCTCTACAATGGCTATGAATATTCACACTAAGTAGGACAAATAACAGCCTCACATCAGTTCAGAACAAATTTTGCAATCAAATGAGTCTGCTGCAAAATTTAGGTTAAAAATTTCAGTTTCCTGATAGTTCTGGATTTGAGAATTGTGATTATGAACCAGTATTTTCCAAAAATAAAATGAAACTCAAAGAAAATAAAATACTTAAATTGAGGACTTTGGGGAAAACAAGTAGGTAGGCTTTTTTCAGTCAAAAAAGATTATATATAAAATGATGGTATTCAATTACTTTTTAAATAACTGAAGAGTAATTGAGTAGATGAATGGAAAAGTCTCAATTATATTTTTAATTTAAATACAACTGTTCTAAGCCTGTGTCCTGCGTAAAAGGGTTGTTAAAGGTTCAGGTAAGATGACAGACATTAAAAAATTAACAGAATACAAAATCAACATATAATATTATTAAATTGTTCAAAAGAAACAATCTAGTGAGATTTCATGACATCAAATAAAGCTAATGCATAAACTAATTAGACTTATAAACCAATTTAGGCTTATTAATTATCCCTCAAACTAATCTTGAGGGACAGTGTTTAAAATCCACAGTAATTCAGTCAACAAACAAACAAACAAACCAGCCCGTAAATTACGTTTGGATATTTAAATGAGTAAATTCTTACCATTGCAAATCCAACATCTGCTTTCTTTAGTGCTGGGCCATCATTTGTACCATCACCAGTTACGGCTACAACCTGGCGTTGGTCTGAGACAGTGCTGTCAATTATACCTTAAATACAAGTAAATATTTGTGTTATAAAAACATTACTCTTTAATAAGATGATTCTGAAGAATATCCTGACTATTCGGTTTTATAGACTCAAGGTTAAAAATAAATAATTAAACAAACATAGAAATGGAAATTGCTTAGATGTTGGCTGAGAACCTACTTCAGAAACTAAGGGCATATTCAGAGCAATATCCTGTCTTAAACACTTCAGATAATCACTTAGGAACACAATTTACCTAAGATATCAAAGGAAATGTATTTAGATTTTATTAAAACATGATATCCATTACTCAATCGAATATTTAGTACCTATTACTATTTTAGGAAGCAGAACACATTTCTGTATTAAGAAATTGTGAAATAATTGAAAAATCTACTTACCTTTAACCAGTGTATGCTTATCAGTAGGAGATGATCTTGCAAGTACTCGAAGCTTTGGCCAAATCTTGTCTATCCTCTCTTGCTCAATCTATAAATGTTTTATCAAAGTTAAAATATGCCCAAACATAGTTTCTTAAATCCTAATGAGCTATCTGGCATATTTATCAGTAGCTCTCAAAGTGTGTGGTCCACAGAACACCACCATCAGAAACTCCTGGGAACTTGTTAGAAACATGAATTCTTGGGCATGGACCCAGATCTACCTTAGCGAGTACTGTGGGGCAGGCCCAGCAGTCTGTGTTTTAATAATTTTGCTAGGTGACTCTGATGCATACTCAGGTTTAAAAGCCATTGTTTTTTATTTATCATTATAAGACCAAATTTAAACCCCCTCCCGCCTACGAAAATAGAACTTCCTTAATTGAGCATAAGAAGTTCAGAGTTTGGGGTCCCCTAAAATATGCTCCATATCAGCCTTTCCAACCCATCTCCCATTACTCCCTTATACATACTGTACTTCTGAAATTGGCCTAGATTCATCGCCACTACTTTCATATAGCATTCATAGCAAGAAATGTTTACTTCCTTTAGGACCAATTTATTACTTCTCTCTTTTATCCCTTAGAACACTAGTATTTTGCTTCCTAAGGTATAGACTGCATTTATTTCATGCATGGTGCCTAACATAGTGCGTATTCAATATGTGTTTGTTGAATTAAATTCCTAATATATTAAACATCTGTCAACCAAAAAAAAAATAAATAAATCTTTACCTCTCCTTTTTCATTTCGTATTCTTCTGTTAAAATCTTTACCTTCTAGGCACAGAAAATCTTCCCCAGGATGTAAAATACCACATTTGGTAGCAATGGCCCGAGCAGTATTAATATTATCACCAGTGACCATTCGCACAGTAATTCCAGCCCTCTGACACTTTTTAATTGCATCTGGCACCTGGTTTACATAAAAAAAAATTACAAAGTTAAATTGGTATTTTTAGAGGGAAAAACATTTCACTGCACACAACTGCATTATTTTATAGTCCCCCAAATGATGACAATGATACAATGACTTCATGATTGATTTCATTTCCAATACTCAATATTTCTTGCACTATTTTCAATAACCTCTTTCCAATTCCACTGCCAGACTTAGCTCAGGCTTCGTTTTCAGTTGTCATCTACTAATTTGTTTGCAGGATTTATTTACAGAAGGCTTTTTAAAGCACGCTTTCCCCCTGGCAACCATTAGGCAATTCTTTTCTGGTTGGTTTTCTACCTTTCTGGTTTTACTACCCAGATTACACCCGAGTAAAATGTTGGTATTCTTTTGTTTAGGGCTAAGGGTGGCTCACAATCTGTATCTTTTAAGTGTTACCTTACCTACTCCCATACCTTCAATTTCCATCTAATTCCATCATATTCTAATGACTTTAGAATCCACATCCTGCCCCTACCTTGCTGTAAGAGGATTCATAGTTCCACCTGAAAAGTGGGTATCGATTCAGGTGTCTAAAAGCAAAACCATGTTTCCTTTACCTATCTAGCAGAAACCTAAGAGTCACCTGTACTTCTTTCAGTTCTCTTATCCTACATCCTTAGAAGCCAGTAAGTCCCGTGGATTCTACCTCAAATTTGCCCTGCATCATGTCTCTGCTGCTTGCTGCCCAACCTACTTCAATGGCTTTTTAATTGGTACCCTGCCAATTAAAGTTTGTTCCCCCTTTAAAACATGTGATATACTTGATGGTAGAGTTTATTTTTTTAAACAGAAATACTCCCTTTCTTAAAATACACGATGATTCCTCAGCTGTTATCACAAATCACAAAGTTCTCAGTGTAACAGAATCACTGTTTGTGCCTGTACTACTACAGTTCCTTTCACCTAGAAAATCTTTTCCTGCTTTTCTATAACCAGAAAATCCACACGGATCCTACTGGAGCAGGGGTTGCAAATTAAAATGTCTACAGGATCATGGAGGTAACATACACGAAGAAAATATGCTGAAAATGACAAACCCCCAAGACAAATGCCTAATGAAAGAGCTATTTAGCTCCAGCCTATTTCTGCCATGATGGAATGAGAGCCCAATGTTAACAGAACCTGTAATTGCAAAAGGAAGAAACACAGATTTGTGCATAATCTCTTCATACTTAATGTTTCTAACCTCCCCTCCCCCAACAAAGATAACCTGACTGAAGGCTAACTTTGGACTGCAGTCTACCTGTTTGTGAAGTCTATCCTAAATCCAGTGTAAATCTAACTTATCTGGAGCTTTCTTGGTCTACATAGACAAAACTGCACCTTCATCTTATACATACCTCTATTACAGGTCATCAAGTCATACTATAGTTATTGTTTACCTGAATCTTCAATGAGCTTCTTGAAGGCAGGACCTTTACCTTATCTTTGCATCATCAATACTTAGTATGCCTTTTGTTTATTTAACAAATAAGCACCAGGCATGTGACTGGAGTTTAGTATTTACTGAACTGCGGAATTAAATATCTTTGGGATAATAGCAAGGGGACATTTTCTAAGGGGTGCACATTCCAGACAAGGTACCTTTTTTTTTTCCCCCCCAAGATGGGTCTCACTCCATCACCCAGGATAAAGTGCAGTGGTACAATGCTGATTCACTGCAACCTCTACCTCCCAGGCTCAAGAGATCCTCCCACCTCAGCCTCCTGAGTAGTTGGGACCACAGGTGCATGCCACCATGCACAGCTAATTTTTTGTATTTTTAGTAGAGATGGGGTTTCACCATGTTGCCCAGGTGAACTCCTGAGCTCAGGCGATCTGTCTGCCTCAGTCTCCCAAAGTAATGGGATTATAGGTGTGAGTCACCATGCCTGGCCCAGGGTACCATGTTTTAAAACATGTATGCAATGTAATTAATTGCAATTTAAATACATATTTATCTATAAGTTTTAAGATTTACATCATAAAAGTTATTTTCCTCTACCCAGTCAACTCTTAGTGATTCAAATAATTGGAGGGCGACATCACATGCATTTACTCAAACTAACATTTACTGAATGCCAGGCACTGTGCTTAGGTCCTAGTGCCAGAGTGATGAGCAAAAGGACAGGGCCTGCTGAAATTATTTAAAAAAAAAAAAAATATATATATATATATATATATTTGACACTAAAAACACTTGTTTTATACATGTATGTATCTCCTGTTATCTCATTTGAGATAAAATCTATCTTAAATTTTTATATCTAAGCAGTCCTTGATTAGGTAGTATCCCAGGATCATCTGGACAGGGAAACAATGAGTGAAAGGGAGAAATTGGTCTCAGGTTAAAACTATGTGGCAAATAATACATAAGAAAGGCACACTAACATTTATTAACTGCCTACTAATCATCAGATGCTTCCAGCTTAAAACTCACAAACTATCTCTACTTTTACATTTAAGAAACTAAAGCAAGGCCAAGTACTTATACATATGCAATAAAAACTGGATTTGTTCTAGACATCTAATTATTCAAGAATCCCTCCACCAGAACTGCACTGTACAAAATAGAGAAACTCAGAGAAAGCTGTTTCATATGACATCGTCTCAATTTAGTATATAAATACCCATCTCATTTTGTGATACTGAGAAACAAGTGCCATTTACATGCTTTAAAAAGATAAAACTCTCCATCAACTGCAATGCCAAGAGCATGATAATAGACTGATTTGTCTTCCAAAGAATGAAAGTTGCAGATATTCTGATTTAATGTTAAAGTTTAAACCATAAGTCAATGTATAGAACTTTGAAAAGCCAGGCACAGTGGTGCATGCCTGTAATTACAGCTATCCAGGAGGCTGAGGTGGGAGGCTGCTTGAGGCCAGGAGTTTGAGACTGCAGTGCACCATGATCTCCTGCCTGTGAAAAGCCACTGTACTACAGCCTGGGCAACATAGGAAGACCCCTTCCTTAAAAAAAACAAAAACAAGACAAAACAAAAAAACAACCTCTGAATGATTCTCCTGTGAACAAATGGCAAATATTACCCACCTGGCTATTTTATAAGCATTTGAAATTACAAAACCCCAAACCAAATTTATCTTGATCTTTCAACAGGCTGCTGTTTCTGATTCTCTTATTACATTGGTAACCCTCTACCAGCCACCAAGTTATACAAGTTAGAGACTGGTTCCATCTCCTTTATAAGACTTCTAATTGTGGCAACCTCTTAGTCGTAAAAGCCTTCTTCCCTAGCTACACACTTTCTCTAAAAGATCTTTAGTTTCATCAGTGACTTCTTCAGACTAGCCCACTTTCAGACTCTGAGGTCCAAATGCCTGACATACATTTGGATGTCTCAGACACCTCAACAATGTCAAAAATGGAATATCCAAACCCAATATATTACTTCCTACTGGTTCTATCTCCACTCACTTTGAAATCGTTCCTTTCTTTCCATCTCCTATGCCACAACTGTAGGCCAAGCCATAATCATCTCTTGCCTGGGATCACTGCAATACTCTCATTAACTTCCCTGCTTCTACTCTTCTTCATCTCTAATCCCTGTCTTACACAGTAACCAAAATAGTATTTTAACAACATAAATCATATCACTTCCCAGCCTGAATTTCAGAAAATTCAGAGCCCTCACAGCCCAGTAAGGCCAGAGATCATCTCGTCTCCCCTTTCTTCTTTACACTTACAGCCACACTGGCCTCCTTTCCACCTTTAAAATAGCTAAATACTTTTCTCACTTTCACTTGCATTTCTCATTTTGCTTGGAATGCTCTTCTTGCAGCTATTTACATGGCAGACCCACTGTGAACCATCAGATTGCATCTCAAATGCTATATCCTCAGAAATTCCTAATGCAGTCTCCCTCCATTACTTTATTTCATTACACTGTGCATATCTTATATATATAGCCTTTTTGCACTAGTAATTGTCTTATTTATTATCATCCCCCCGATATGCCATCCTGCCACCCAGAATATAAGGCCTATGAGAACAGGCACCAAGTCTTATTCCTCCCAAAATTCATTTTCACTTGACACGGTGTCCATGTATCTATCATTCTACCTACTTAGCTGTCTTCTTCCTCTAGAATATACATCTCAAGACTATTCTGGTCACTGCAGTATTTCCAGTTCCTAGAAGAGTGCTACATATTAGGTTTTGAATCAATTAGCTGATAAAGTCACTGAACAACAGTGGTTTTCTGCTAGTGCTGTTATTTATGTTGCTTCTTTGCTCAAGACATACTTAACTGCTCACTCTCTTTCTTGGTTTAGATAATACTTCCTCCTTAAGAATCGGATCAGGTAATTAACCTCTAGGAAGTCTTACCTGACCCCTCCAGTGGTTAATACAGCACAGTAGTCTTTTAAGCACCTGTGTTTTAGACAAAGCTGGTATTTTAACACACTAGGTGTACTAACACTCTATACATTCTCGATTTTTAAAAATCTGCCAAATAAGAGTAATAGCATGCATACCTCACAAAGTTAGACATTTAAAAAAATTACATGTAAAGCATGTGGCTTAAGTATATGGCACACAGTGAGAACTCAATAAAAAGATGCTATTAGGGTAAGTTGGGAACTCACGTTCCCTGCTCATATAACATGCTCTGTATATACCTAGCAAGGTACTAATATACTGGGTTGCAATAATCATGTGTTTGGTTCGTTCCACATAAGACAGTAACTTCTTTGAGGCCAGGGATCAGATCTCAAAACTCTTAAGTCTCAATTACCTTAGGACAGTGCCTGGCACACAGTAGTTGTTCAACAAACTTAAAAAACATGAAAAACCAAATAGCAAAAAAAAAAAAAAATTAAAGAGTGAAATCAGTCTAGAGCTGCACGCCATCCAATATGACAACTACTAGCAAGATATTTTAATTTGAATTAAATAAAATTTTAAAATCCTGTCTTTCAGTTGCACTACCCACTGAAAACTAGACGTCAGTAGTCACACATGGCGAGTGGCTACTGTACTGAACAATATACAGAACATTTCTATTATCACAGAAAGCTCTACTAGACAATGCTAGTCTAGAGACTGAAAACAAATAACTTAATGGCACCTATTATTTAAGATAAATAATAACTGAAAATTCTACCCACTTTAAGGCACTGTGCTAGGTTATGCTGCTATGAACACATAGGATCCCAAAGACAGGCTGTCTTTAAAAACCACAAAAGCTAGCATATGGCACCGTAGGTACTATTATTTCACTTAAAAAGCTAGCATATGGCACCGTAGGTACTATTATTTCACTTATCTTGGGTTCACACAGGAAAAAAAAAAATCACAAACACCAAGAATTTTACTAGAAAACTGGTTACAATTAAGGCCTAGGTCCTCTATAGTTACGAGATTCTGCACATGCAGAACACAGAATGTTTCACCACCTCAGGTCTCACAGGATCTTCAATCCCCACAACAGCAATGCATGTAAGGCCGGTGACAATATCATTTTCATTATCCCACTCTGGTTCTGGTTCTCCTGCTGGAAAATCTCTGAATGCAAGACATATGGTTCTCAAGCCTTCTGATGCCATCGGTTCAATCACAGTTTTTACAATATCATCACGGTCCCTTGGTCTGAACACTTTTGCCTCACCATTAGCACTCAAGATTTTGAAACACCTAAAAGGAAATGTTGAATCCAAACATCAATAATTTAAAAAAAATAATGGTTAATGCCATTTAAGTGAACTGGCAGGCCTAGAAATCATGGGATCTGATATCTGGAATTTAGAGAATTACATATAATTCATTTTTATAGACTTAAATTCACTTTTCACCCTCCCCTTTACAAAACAGAACTAATATGTATGGTTCTCATTTGATAGTTCTCCATTTAGCAGTTACTCTGGAACTTCTCTAAACCTTCTCTTTTGGAAATGCAGTGCTTTCAAAGAATCCCTGGGTGGCAAAGGAGAATAAACTATATATACTTCACCATTTTGGTACAGAATCAGACATTAGTTTTAAATAACACCAAAATCACAAATGTGTTCTTCTTTTAAGGTAAAAAGCCAAGTGTAGTCAACCCCTTACCTGAGATGTTGTTTCATCACCTATATTGTTTTAACCATGAAAGAAAAAAAATAACTTATTGTTAAAATAAGCATTCTATCAGAATGAGAGTTAATGCTAAAATAATTATTATTTTCAGTGACACTACTACCTTTTCTTTCATTATATAATGAATAAAAATCACACTATATACCTAAAGTCTGTTTTTCATAACGCCTCTCTATACTCCTCTCCCTTGATGATGCCATCTCCTCCTGCTTCTAGGGAGGTAATTCCCAAATCCGCATCTTCCATTTTGTTTTTCAAAGCTTTCCATCACTGCTGAAAAATTCTACCCAAATGTTTTATCACTACCTAAACCTTAAGGGATGAAAGCCTGGAAGCTGCCTCTTCACTGCCCATGTAATGTGCATCAACATTACCCTAATCATTTTGATGTAAGTCTAAAATTTCACTTTAATACTTATTTTTCCTGATCATCTCTCTACTATTAGCTCCTAAGTCCCATACATTTCCCCTCTGAACAGCCTCCTCAATGTGTCCACTCCTTTTTATTTCTCCTGCTACTACTTCCTTCTGGTTCTTACTTCAAGCTACAAAGCTACAGCTACTGTAATAGCAATAGCCTTTTAACTGATATCTGTCTGTAGCTGATTTTTTTTTTCCCTCTAACCCACCTTGTTCCCTAATGCAAGAATTATCTTTAATCACAGCTTTGATGATTCTACTACTTGAAGAAAAAAATACTTCATTTGTATTATCTGGCTTATTTAATTTTAATTGCTCAGCCAAATATTTAAAAAGTCTCCACATCAAAATGCAAATATTACTGTGGGAACACTTGCTGTATGTTTACTGTCCATCAGGCTTCATGCTAGACAGTTGGTATGCATTATTTCATTTAAGTGCCACAGAGTTGGTGGTCATCAACCCCTCTCTCAGACGAGGAAAACGGAAGTAAGGGAAGAATGTGCCCCATATCCCAAAGCTAGTTAGTTGCAGAGGAAGAGTCAATGCATGATCAGTTTTGATGAAAAAAAATTCTCTTCTAAACCATCTATCTACTACCCACAAGCCAGGGATGAAACAAATTTCTAACCTTTTACAATGAAATCAGGTAACTGAGTGTACTGGGGCAAGAAGAAAGCTCTATATGGCCTGTGTGCCACAAAAGCCCATCACTATTCACCTGAACTATACAACCAGATATTCCCCTCCCAAATACGACCTGCTGTGGTTTCCCTAACCTCAAAGTTCTCATTTCATACCAAAACCTATCTTAAATGCCCCATCCCTACAGTATGATCTCTCACCCAAAAGCTTTGTACCAATTTATTATATGCTGCCTTCAGTTATTTATTTATATATTTGTCTCTTAAACTAATTGTAAAGTGTTCATTAAGATAATACTGGCTTATAATCCACATGTAAGCAAATTAAAAGTATATTTTAAATATTTACTTTAATATTTTAAATACTATAATTTCAAATGAGTTCCAATTTTCCCAAATTGCTCTACACCAGTATTTTTTTTAAAACCAGTTCTCTACTTCTTTAATGGAATTAAAGAAACCAAAATAATTTTACCACCTTTAATATCAAATAAACATCAGGAGAAATATATGTGAGCATGTTACAGCAAAATTAAAGCTACTGGTCTGTAAAAGGACAGCAAGAAAGAAAAATTAGTATTCAAAATGACAGGAGTATTTAAATATGACACTGCAGCTGCATAAATATGATAAATCTCATTTTGATATAAATGGGGAATTTTCAAGATCCAGCTTTTATGCTTTGCTATTCTAAAAATTACTCCATAATTCTCGTATCACATTCAGAATCCAGTAACCACAATGAGCGCTGAAGATCTAAACTTGAGGCCAGGTGCAGTGACTCACGTCTGTAATCCCAGCACTTTGGGAGGCCAACACAGGCAGATTACTTGAGGTCAGGAGTTCAAGACCAGCCTGGCCAACATGGTGAAACCCTGACTCTACTAAAAATACAAAACTTAGCCAGGTGTGGTGGGAGATGCCTGTAATCCCAGTTACTTGGGAGGCTGAGGCAGGAGAATCCCTTGAACCCAGGGGCAGGGGATGAAGTGAGCTGAAATGGCGCCACTGCATTCCAGCCTGGGTGATACAGGGAACCTCCATCTTAAACAAACAAACAAAAAAGAGACATAAACTTAATTTTCTTCCCAGGAGGTTTTTTCAAGATTCTACATATTAAATAACAAGTAAATCAACTTCTAAAAATAAACATCAAACTATACATCATTAAACATACCAGACTGAATGTAATGGGTTTATTTTCCCTATAGTAAAATACTAAGAAATAAGAGAAGCTAGAGTGTCAAAATGGCAGAATAGCAGGGGCAAATATCTGGATACCATAAAATATGCTAAAAAGCTCTGAAGTCCTATCAAATGCCTGATGTTCACAAAAAGAAGACAACAACAAAAACAACACAGTAGATATTCCATAAAGCAACTATAGTCAGCAATTTATTCATCTAAGCATTTTACTCTTACTTTTTCAGAATTATCTCAGATGCGCCCTTGCTGAATATTCGGTAACTTCCATCTGAATTTTTCAGAACAGTACTCATGGATTTCCTAACAGAATTGAAGGTGTAGACTTTGTACAGTGCTTCTTCTGGTATTTCATTTCTAACATCCTGATAATCCCGTTTTAAATCCAAAAGAAGTCCCAACAAGGCACATTCAGTTTTATTACCAACGTGACGAGGTAATCCACCCTCTTTCTCTGGGGGCTGTAAGAGAAAAAGGTTTAGTAGCTAGTATCATCTTGTTTCTCTATGAACATTTAATTTATAATGTAAAACAGAATGTGAAATTCTAAAATAAAATTACAGAACAATTGTCTAATATCAACATTTTAAAGAAGGACACAGAAAAGTAAGGTAGAAAGGAGCCTGGGGTGAGAATGACATGGATTCTAATCTCAGTCCTGCCAGTTACTAGCTACATGAAATTTGACAATTGCCCAACTGCTGTGGTCCTTGGCTTCAGCATCTGTAAAACAGGAGCACTTATGACTCCAAAATTAAATGATATAAGATGTATAAAGTTTATAGTTGGTTCCTAATACAGAGTGGAACTTAATTTTAATTCCCTTTTCCTGTTTTCACTTAACTTTAGTACTAAATCATTCAAAATTAAATCTACTTTACCAATTTTTATGGATTAAAAGTACATGCATTAAAATATTGTTCTCTTAAATGTAGTGAGAAGCTTTATTTCCTTCACAGTGCCTTCAGAAATACCACCTTACATAATCATCACAATGGGATTAAGGGCCGACGTGATCATCTTTACTCAGTAATTAAAGAAGGAGCTCAGACTTTCAGCTAGTAAAAGGCAAAGTCAGATCTAGAACCAAGATCCCATAACTTTCCAATGCAATCATCCAATTCATGTATGTTTTCCCTAATGAACAGCATGCAATATTGTTTTTGTTAATGATTTTCATCCATAAATCACTAGAAGAGATTAAGTCAAACATAACATTGTATGCTTTCTGTTACAAATAAGATTTCTAAAACTTGTAAAGTTGAAAATTTTGTTTTATATGGTGGCACATGTCTAGAATTACTTTACTGCATTAGTTCTACAAAGGTCTAAGCACCACCTTTTAGGTAGGAACTACTGAGAGACCAAACAGAGCACATAGCAAGCATATATAAAACATGTTATTTTAAGTTGAAAGCAGGCTTCAAAATTTTCTCTAAGTTGAGAGCTGACCTACTATGGTAAGACAGCTTGATCTTTCTCAAAAATGAGTTTAACAAGAATTTAAAATTAAATACATGTTCTGCTTATAAGGGTGGAGAGTTTCTGAACACAGGAAATTCAAAATATAGGAGGAGAAAAACGTAAGTAAGCAATGTTTATGTTGATCAGCAGACCTCACTCATAACACAAATTTAAAAACCATTATATAAATAAATATATGCCTTTTAAAAACTTAACACAGTTCAGTTTACTTTACATACAGTAATGGTGGGTCTGAGGACTTACATATAGTCCCATCATTATAGATTTAAAAATTAATTTTTATATACATAAATTATTTCAAAAACCTTACCAATATTTTTGATGTATAAGCACAATTCACAGAAATTCCTGTTACAAGATAGGACAAAATATTTGGTGGAATAGCTTCTGGCTCAGGAACCTTTTTATAATGTTTTTCATTTATGTAAGCTTGAACAACTGTCATTCTGTTCATTGTCAAAGTTCCTGTTTTATCTGAACAAATAGCTGTAGCATTTCCCATGGTTTCACAAGCATCCAGATGCCTTACTAAGTTATTATCTTTCATCATTTTCTACATTAAAAAAAAAAAAAGTTAAGCTGCATATAAAACCAATCACCTCATTACATTAAAATGATTACAAACTGTTTTAAAATTAGAACTAAAACTCCCAGCTTTCTATAAATACAATGTATAAAGTACCAATGTAATACTAAAATTTTTTTTTTTTTTAGCATATTTGACCTATTAAAACAAGCTAAACACAGTGCTAGAGCTTTCTGGGGTTTCAATCATTTTATTGCTGCATAACATAACCTAGTAAGTCAGTTCAGGCACCTGCATCCATAAACAAATAACACTGAATATATGTCTCCAACGGTTTTTGCAAAATGTCCTCACATTACAAGAGCAATGACAATCTGTACAGTGGTACTTATAGTAGTGCAAGAGTATATTAAAGGATTAAGCCTCCCTATTAAGTGGAAAACAAAAGATTCTTACATCAGTTCCAAGGAAAAAATGGCTTTTATCAGCTAAAATAAAGAGCTTGTGGGTATGTAGTTGCTTGATATTTTTATTATTAATTCTAAAAGAGTTAACATATCAAAACTAGAATGAGTCATTTTTTAGCTATTCTATATGCTGGCAGACTTGGCATTTTCATCCTTAGCAGCAAACTGTGTCTCACTTCTTTCTCTCATTTACAACAGAAAAAATCATTTCTAAAAAACCAACAGTTTTCACAGTAGTTTCACAGGGCATTTAAGCCAAAATACCTTATAATTAGTTCTCAGCACTTAATGTGGAATGGGTTAAAAACTATATGAAGTTATTTTACAAAGTGTTTTCTGTGATGACTAATATGCAAGATACTGTAAAAAAATTGGTTCCTTGAAAAAATATGTGAAAAACAGATGCGCACTTCTTAAATTACTTGTGATTTACATATCAAAGATGAGAAGAATGAAGTTTTGCAGTAAAGAAACCACGTTCAGTTTTGTGAAACACTAACAGAGAATCCATAAAGACTATACCTCTGTGAAAAGAACAGTAATTGGTAACATTAGAGCTAGATAAACATCTAATAAAGGCTTAAAAAAGTAGTTAACTTGTTCTTACTAATTTTATATTCAAAAAACATAAATCAATCCTACCAGTATCGTTCTAATCAATTAAAAAATTAGTATCATTAATGACTACTCAAAATGAACTAATGACAGTTTGGTAAAATGTTCTGTGTCCAAAACTTGTATTTACCCCAAATTTTTCAAATTACTTTAAAATATCAAAAAAGGACAAATAGATGACTGATTATACTATATCTTATCACTTTGACACATATACCAATTTATTTTTTAAATGAAAGTTGTTAAATGCCTGAAAAGAAAATAAATTCAAACAGTAGGCAAAAAACATTCTTATCAAGACAGGTCTAATAATGAAGAATGGAAAGGTAGAAACAATGACTAATTAATATTGCTCACTGTCAGCAATGTTTCTTAAGGAGAACTAGCAATTAACATTTGAAAATTTACAAAAGCAGCATTCTTCGTTTGGTTATAATTTTTTACCTGCAAGATCATTTTGAAAAAAAAAGTTCAAAATTGTCCAAGCTACGTTTTAAAAAAAAAAAAAAAAATGCAATCCACCTTTTCCGTAAGATAGAAAATTGATAAAAATAAATTAATAATCTTCAAAAAGATTATTACTTTAAGGTAAAGAGCAGTAAGCAAAGCCATCAAAGCTCATCTCTTAGTATTCTACTTGGAGAACAAGAAGGACTGAGCTACTGTAAATCAAGTGGTCAGAGGAAGGTGACACTTGAAGGGACTTTATGAATAAAGAAAGCGAGCAGGTTACTCAAAGGAAGGAACAAGTGGGCCCTGAAGTAAGAATACAGTTGAGATGTTTGAAAATCATCAGGAAGACTGGTGAGGTTGGGCCAGAGGAGCAGAGAATGAGCAGAGAGGTAAACAAAGGCCAGATTGGCAGGGCCTTGCAGGCCACGGTAAAGAGTTTGCATTTTACTCTAATTGTCATGAGAACTAACTGAAAGGTTTTACACATGGAAATCGTAATTTTTTAATTTGTTTTTATTTTTAGAAACATGAGCCTAACTCGCTCACCTTAATTTTACAGATGGAAAAGAGGAGGTGATATGACTTGACAATATAACTATCACGTAGCGAAAATCACGCTAGAACTGTGCCTAGCAGAGTCGTGCTTAGTATTGTGTCAAGGCTGCCCTTATGTGGAATGCACAGGTCTCTTACAGAGATACTCAACTGGTGGGAGGTACAGGGCATCAATGACAACATTTCTAGAGAAAATAGTGTACGTTTATGAAAGTCCTCACTTTCAGAAGCAGAAAAGGAGTAACTAGATGGGCATTTTCTATACCAGCTAAGGGTTTAAACATAACAACGTCTACTGAACAATTTTCTACTTACTTTGACTGAATAAGCCAGTGAGATCGTGACTGCAAGTGGAAGACCTTCTGGCACTGCGACCACTAAAACCGTAACTCCAATAATGAAGAACTTCACAAAGTACTGTATATAAATTGGTGTGCATTCAGCAAGCCATGGTCTTTTCTGAACCCAGAAGGTGTCAATGACAAAATATAATACTAGAATGATAACTGTGATGGCAGACATCAACAGACCTTTCAGAATAGAAATGAAAGAAAAATGTGATTATTTAAAGTTCCAGACACTAACCACTGCCAGATACATATTAACCATTGTAAAGAGTTATAACTGGCTCGATAGTAATGAATTTCTCTGAGAAATTGTTACTTCCTTCTTGCACCTAACTTGTAACTTGACATTGTCCGATTCAATTTTTTGCTTCCAAGTACAGTCTTGTCCCCAGGAGAACTGGGAGAAAAACACTTAGGATTCTTTCCTTAGACTTAATTATATCTTTGGCCTTGTACTGAAACTGAGACAAAAATAACACGCAATGATAAGGAAGTACCCAAAGCTTAGAATAAACTGGTGCTTTACATGTTCAAGCAGCAAGCACCCTAATGCTTAAAGAGAAACTGGTAAAAATCTGATCAATGGGGAGACCTGGAATTAAATACTCAACCCATGTTTTTAAAAAATAACATTATAATAAATAAAATTATATAGTACGAATTATTATTTCTTCATTTTTTTTGCTCTATCCTTACTGTTTCATTAACTTAGCAAACCAAGAGTTAACCATGTATCTTGTGGGATACTCTGCTTTTTGACGTGTATGAAAAAACAGGGCAGCTGGCTGGGTGCAGTGGCTCATGCCTGTAATCCCAGCACTTTGGGAGGTCGAGGTGGGTGGATCACCTGAGATCAGGAATTCGAGACCAGCCAGCCAAACACGGTGAAATCTCATCTCTACAAAGATACAAAAATTAGCTGGGCATGGTGGCACGTGCCTGTAATACCAGCTACTCCAGCTGAGGCAGGAGGCTCGCCTGAACCCGGGAGGCAGAGGCTGCAGTGAGCTGAGATCGTGCCACTGCACTCCAGCCTGGGTGACAGAGCGAGACTCCGTCTCCCACCCCCAACCCTCCCCAAAAAGGAGGCAGCTGGGCACAGTAGCTCACGCCTGTAATCCCAAGACTTTGGGAAGCTGAGGTGGGAGGATCACTTGAGCCCAGGCATTTGAGACCAGCCTGGCCAACACGGTGAAACCCCGTCTCTATTAAATTTACAAAAATTAGCCAGGTGTAGTGGCGTGCATCTGTAGTCCCAGCTACTTAGGGGGCGAAGGCAGGAGGATAACCTGAGCCTTGGGATGTCGAGGGTTCAGTGAGCTGTGATCATACCACTGTACTCCAGCCTGGGTGACAGAGTGAGACTCTGTCTCCAAAAAAAAAAAGAAAAAAGAAAAGAAAAAAGAGAAAAGGTAAGTCCACATATCTGGTTCTAACATTCCAATCTAATGTCTACTAAGTGGATTTACCACCTCAAATTCACTCTTTTCCCCCAATATTACATGAGTCAGTATTACCACTTGGCTACATATTACAAAGAGCAAATATTTGCTATTAGATAATAAGCATACTGAGGACAGAAGCAAAAACATCACTTTTTCCATCACACTCCTAGAGAATAGTAAAATGATACAATTTAAGCAATTTTAATAATATATGCTTATTTATCCACACAGTGTTCTTCCAAAAACATACTACTGCTGGAGGTCATGCTGTTTTTAACCTTAGAGCTCTGCTTTTTCCCTTAAAGAATAGCTGTATTAACAGGTATTTTCTAGTGATGGCAGTAATGTAGTAACTTCAGCCTCACTACAATAACTCCAGTGCAGAACTTTAACATTAGAGACATAACTAAAAATTCTCATAGATAACCAGTAAAAAGATGAGCAAAATGTGTGATGAAATTTTATTAAAATATAATTAGTTCATCTTAACTGAATAATCTCACAGGTTGCCTTTTCTTCACTTAATGCAGAAATTCAGAGATGAGTGCATAGACTTGTAACTGGACAGACTTAGGCACTAATCCTAACCCGACCGCTTATTAGCAAATTTTAAGTACCTATAGTAACTCAAAGGGCCTGGTGCACTGTAGCTAGAAGTGAAAATATTTCAAACTCCCCTTCTATTCACAAAGTAACAATTTCCAGGCTTAAGTGTGTCAAAAGACAATTTGCAAGCAGAAAGCATATTTAAAAATAAAACACTTAATTTTCTTCTCCATATCATACCTGCTTTGCCAATCTGAACAGCCAGTTTTGTAAGTTTTCCTTGTAAAACAGATTTTTCCTTTTTTGGCAAATTTGCTTTCTTTTTATCTTTTTCATCACCATCTCCACCTTCTTCACTCTTCAGTGGCTGCATTTCCATGGCTGCACCATCCTGGGCTTTTGCTACATTTAAAAGCAAACACAACTTCACTATACTTTGAAGGCACATATCATTATTAACATTTTAAAGAAATTTTAAAAATCAGTTTCTTACAGAAACCAGTAAAGGTATAAGCATTCAGCTTTGTGAGTGTGTGTGTGTGTGCGTGCGCGCACGTATGTGTCTACACAGAGAAAATAAGACAATAGTGACATTAGGTTGTGAAACTTTGTACCAGATTTGAAAATGTTGTGCTAGGTAATGAGGATGAGGCATGTACGGTCCTTAAACTAAGAACTAAAGAATATTAAATTTCTTTTCCTGTGCGTTATGTTAGGTAACATCTAAACAACATAAATCCCTCCCCTATAATTTATGACCATGACGTAGAGATTATGTATAACCGTGTGTATATAGAAATATGCATATATTTATGGACTCTTAAATAAATGCAACATTTATGCTATATATTTTGTTTCTTATGCATTTTTGCTACTAACTATATAATAACCAGTGTTCAAATACTTGAAATACTTAAGTTGAAAGTTACTCTACATAAACTACTGACCTCGTGTGATGGGGCATAGTTAAAACTGTTTCATGCACAAAATTATTAAAAATATTGTACAAAATTACAATCAGACAATGTGTAGAAGGTGTATATGGCAATGTATAGATAAATTTCATGTTTGGAGTTGGGTCTCATCCCCAATATATCTCATTATGTACATGCAAATATTCCAAAACCCGAAAAAAAAAAAATCTGAAATCTGAAACACTTCTGTTCTCAAGCATTTCGGATAAGAGATACTCAACTTGTACCACAAATCATACTTAAAATCTTATTACCATTAACATTGTAGTGATAACATGACTAAGACAACGGCAGGAAGAAAGGTTAATCCAAGCTAACATATATTGTTGATTTTGCCTGCCACATGTATCTTACTTTTGAATAAATATGGTACACAGTAGATCTTTGGATATACTGAAAACAAGCTCACAGTACTTTTGTCTTCCTAAATTTACCTTTGTTGCGATTCTCAATAGCTCCATCTTGTTTCTTATCTGTAGGAACAAAATGGGAATTAAAGCTTTCCGAAAGAAATGAATACAGCCATGCTAAATTATGCAGAAGTAGTTCACATTTCTATAACAGTTGTTACACAATGGTGTGTGTGTCTACAGATTAGAAAACATTTGACTTGTGATGATCTGCTGGGTCAATCACTCCCTAAGTCTCACCTATGGGAGAATATTGCAAAATAATTTACGGTGTCTATATTTGTTTTATTTTTCCATAAGACTTCACTACTTTATAAGCTGTAACAAACATAAATATGATACAGAAGGTTTTAAAACCAAATAAAACCCTAAGAAAGCAGAAAAAGGCAGGGGTGGAGAGGGAGGAGGAAGGGATGTTATAAAAAGACAATGGGCAGCCGGGTGTGGTGGCTCACGCCTGTAATCCCAGCACTTTGGGAGGCCGAGGCAGGTGGATCATCTGAGGTCTGGAGTTCAAGACCAGCCTGGTCAACATGGTGAAACCGTCTCTAGTAAAAACAAAAAATTAGCCGGGCATGGTGGCAAGCACCTGTAGTCTCAGCTACTCGGGAGGTTGAGGTGGGAGAGTTGCTTGAACCCAGGAGGTGGAGGTTGCAGTGAGCCAGGATCACGTCATTGCACTCCAGCCTGGGGGATAGAGTGAGACTCCGTCTCAAAAAACAAAAAAGACAACTGGCCCACAGGAGACTGTTGATGAGACTGAGGACAAAAATTTTATGTACAAAAGATAGGAAAGGCAACTTAGTAAAACTAGAATACGAATGTACAGAATAAACCAGTGAGACTACCAGGTAAGGTAGCTCTCCAAATCAGCTTATATTTGGAAAAAACAGAAAGATGAGCGTATCTGAAGCCACAAAGTAACGAAGGAAGGCACAGGCCTATTGTCTGGAGTAGGCACTACAATATTAAAAATGACAAAGAGCAGCAGAACCATTCAGTCTATATTCTTCTAGCTTCTTTATCGAGGAGAACTATCTTCAAACGGAAAACATGGAACAAACATGGTCAAGAAGGAATAGAAGCTCAAGATTGATGAGGAGATAGTAAGATAATACCTAGCTACTTTTAATGAGCTCAAGTTTGGAGAGACCAGAGGGCCACAGTCCAGGCCACTGAGGGAACTGAGACAGATTACCCTGGACTGCCTCTGAGTAATCGCCAAGGTAGTCAAGGGAATGGGAGAAGGGCTGGAGGTCCACAGATGAAAAAATGTTGCCCTGTTCTTTTAAAAACAAAACAAAACAAAACAAAAAAAGGGAGTCAACAAATTAGATGTTAATTTCTGGGGAATGTTCTGGACTGGATTAATAAAACCAGTGTATAAGACTTAGGGGGAAAAGGAGCTTCCTGGAAAAGACACTGTGGAATAAAGTGAGGATGCAAACTTCCCTTCAGCGTCCAGTGACTTTCAACTCCTGTGTATTAGGATGGAGCACAGCATAAAAGAGTAGACTCTTGAGCCACAGAAGAGGGTGCAACCTGCCACTTACTAGCACTTTGATCTAGAGCAAATGACATAATCTCCATAAACCTCAGTTTACTCATCAGTAAAAAAAAAAAAAACAGTCTTTATACAGTTGTGAGGATTAATGAGATAGTGCATGTAAAACACTTAATAAATGGAACCATTATTGTGCTGGTTTTCAAATCGCATTCTACTCAGCCTTAAGAAACCTATGGAAGCACATTGAGAGCTGCTTCAAGGAGGACACAGGAAAAAAACCTAGAATGGGGGGCTTGCCACCTGGATCTGAGTCTAGAACTTTTCACATACATTTTTGTTTCAAATAGAGATTTTATAGCTAATGGCAAAACTCAAAGAACAAAACAAACCACTCAAATATTAAAACCACTGCTGTAGTTATAGCAAAACCAGGATTTTAGCCAGGCAGTTATTTTAGAATGTTTCAAAATATTCATGTGAGAAACAACAATATGGGTTTACTATCCTAAATAACATTAAATAAATCTAAGTAGCTAAACCACAGTAAAATGTCAACCTAAAGGGAAAAGACTCCAGAGTGGTGATCCTGAGTGGGAAGGAAGGGTGGTACAGCAGACACTTCGAAGCAGGGTAGGGAGGGCTTTTTAAAAGTGGCATGCCCCTAACTATGAGATTCTGAGATGTCTCTTGCGTATAACAGTTTCTTGTAAGATCCTTGTGGATAAATGGTATGATTATCAAGTTTGCTGATAACAGAACACTTGGAGGGACAGGAGATACAATAGATCAAAATTTTAAAAAGATTGTGTTATCTAACGATGGGCTGAATATAACAAGAGAAATGTAAGGTGTCAAAGTGAAGTCCTAGTCTTGTGTTAAAAAACCAAGCACATTAAGTATAGAGTAGAAATGTGAATAGCTGAAGAAGATTAGAAGCTCAGTGAAACCAAAATATAATATGGCTGATAAAGAAAGCTACTGCTAAAGTAGCAAAAAAAAAAAAAAAATCCGCAAATAGGAAGTGAGAGTTCAATTCATTTTGCTGATCAGATAACAGGAGAGATTCTACACCTAGAGAATAAACGGAAGAATGCCAATGCAAGTATTCAAGTAGATACTGAATTTCTCTGGCCATGTTAAAGAGGACTGATGTATTCTCTAAAGGCCCATGCTATTAAGTCTAAAAGAAAAATCTTCTTTTAACTTTTTGTAGAATTTTTCATACCAGAATCTCTTGAAGGAAGGTATTAGTTCTTAGAAATTATTTGCCATATTTCCAAATACCAATTATAGAAAATTGTTATTCTTACTTTTCTTTTCCTTTTTCTTCTCATCTTTCTTCTCTTCCTCTTCACCTCCAGCTCCAAGTAACGTAAAGATAATTCCAGTTTGAGAATTTACACCTACAGCTGTAACTACCATTCTTCCAGAGCCTTCCATTACATGAGTACCTATAACCAAAAACATAAGTTTGTTTTTAAAAATTCTAATAGAGTTCCTTGATACACCAAATTTCAAACTTTGGTAATACTGTTTTTAATATCCTCAACATTTAGGAAAAAAAATATACATATATATATAATTTTTTTTTTTTTTTTTTTTTTTGAGATAGGGTCTTGGTCTGTCACCCAGGCTGGAGTGCAACAGTGTGAACATGGCTTACTACAGCCTGGATCTCCTGGGCTGAAGTAACCCTCCCGAGTAGCTGTGACCACAGGTACGTGCCACTACACTCTGCTAATTTTTTTAAAAAAATTTTGTAGAGACAGGGTCTCACTATGTTGCTCAGGCTGGTCTCAAACTCCTGGGCTCAAGCAATCCTCCCGTCTTGGTCACCCAAAATGTTGGGATTACAGATGTGAGCCACCATGTCTGGATCAATAAAATAAACTTAGTAAGACATTAAATAAAACTTATTTCTTATGCTTAAGGTTTTAACTCTAATCAGTCATATCCAAGTTCAAAGCTCAATCTACTACTCACTTATCATATAATATTAGGTAAATTGTAACAACTCAGTTCCCTGTCTGTACAATTCATAGAAATATAATGAGATTTACATTTCTCATATAAACTTATAAATGTAAAGTGTTTAGCATACTGCCTAGAATTTGTAGGGGTTCAATGAATGCTCATTATTAATTGTAACCTAAGGTATGAGGGACATTTCTCTGAGAAAAACATTGCTTATATGTATCAATGACAACCAATTTCACATTTCCCACACCCAACTTCACAACCTCTACCTAACACAAGCTTTCATTTCTGCCCACCTTCATAATTGCAATAGCCCCCTACTTAGTCTCTGTGTCTTCCCAGTTCATCCTGAAATCCGTTTTAATCTTCCTAAAATGTGATTTCATCATATACTTCTCATGGCTCAAAAATTTCTGATTCTTCACTGCCTACTGGATTGAGTCCGAAGTCCTCACCTTGAGACCAACCCAGTCTTACAAACTTACTCATCCGCTACTCTAACATAAAATTTCATTACAGAAAACTAGGAATCAGAGATGAGAACATGGACTAAATTCTGACTATATCCATCAAAACAATTTTGCATGTTGGCAGCTATTACAATTCTAATTTTCTAGAAACTTGCCCAAGGTTATACAACTACTTTTTTTTTTTTGGTAGAGACAGGGTCTGTGTCACCCAGGCTGGTCTCAATAATTGTCTCCTGTCTCAGTCCCCAAAGTACTGGAATTACAGGTGCGAGTCACCGTGCTCAGCCTGAAGGTTATACAACTATTAAATGTCAAGGCAAATATTCAGTCCAGTTCTGTCAGAGGATAAAGAGTATATTCTTCTTTAGTTATAACGCTGAGAAGTTTGCTTACAGTTCTCCAACTTGTACATCCACATCTCTCTATTTTTCCTGATTCACTAAAAGGCTTCTAATCCCTCTAGTCTAATCTTTTTGTTAGTTTTAAGGAGGCTTTAAAGCAACTTTTTTTTTCTTTTTTTTTTTACACTAAAGTCTACTTTACAGTTATCACTGATTTGTATTTTATTTCGTCATTTACAACCTTCTGGAGCATAGCGAACGTAGCATCTACCACAATCTTATGTACCAAGTTGATGCTCAAGGAATATTTGCTAAGTACGTTCATAAAATATATGTACTTACTCAAGCATTTAAGAATCTATATTTGGCTATTAATTACTGAGTAACTCACCCAAAATTGTTTTTTAGGCTTCTGCTTTCTTGCTTTTAAAAATCTATATTGATTATTTCACTAGTTATTAGCTTCTTTGCCAGTGAAAGTGCAGGGAAAACAAGAAATACAATTCAAGATAGTGAAACGGTAAGTATTATGCATAACAGACAACTTATTTCTTTTAACAATTCTGGTTTTTTCCAGACTCCAATGTTTTAGGTTCTATTTTGCCTTACCACAGGTAATCAGATGTTGGCAATGAATGTGCTCAGGCAAAGTAAACAGTTTTAAGTCTTGGTCATACCCCCACCACTAACTGAATACTGCTTTTAAAAATCTTAACTTAAGAAGCCAAGAACAGCAGTCAGAGATGGCATCATGAGAGTAAATTTAAAAATAAATGCATGTCATGCTTTTTAGTACATTTTTGGAATAGGGAAATAAATGCAGAAAAACTTTCCCACCCATACTGCGATAAGGGACTCTACAAAGTTATTTCAGTCTTTTCTTAAATGTGGGAAATTTAGAGAGTTCTCCTGGTATACTTGGTGTGTCAGGAACCTGAGTCTACACAAAGCTTACCAGTCATCTCCGTTAAAACAGAAAGGATCAAAGTTCAGTTAAAGGAAATCAACCTGAAGAGCTAAGCACTATGTAAATAAGTGAGATGTACATAAAAGTCCATGCACTATACATAGCAAACAGGAGACTATCTTAATTTGTTACACATTGTGATCTGGTTAATCTGTGATGGTAAGGTATGATTAGATAGCTTCCCTCTCCTTTGGAAAGGTTATAGATTTTATTTGGTTAACATTAACTACAATTTCTTAGAAGCACAGCAAGGTAAGCAGAATGAGTTAATACATTATACTTATATATCCAAGTTCTTTCTGGCTATTTGGTATAAATTACAAGCACACCAATACAAAGAAAAATCCAAACAGGGTGTGAATGTTCTAAGCGGCACAGGATACTGAAAGTATACACATCTCAAGATTTTTTTTTTTTTTTGATGAAACGTAAGTCTGTATTAGAATTGGAACTTTTATCCTATTTATAATGGTGTTTATAAGTGTAATTACTCTGATCTTTTGGCAATAAGACTTTCCAGCCAATATAAACGTGTCTGGTTCTTCGCAATAGGCTTCTTTTGGTATGCATTTATAAATCTTAAAAAGTTATGGTTAAACTTAGGTTTTGCTTCAAAGTTGTGATTCTAACTTAATTGACCCTTGAGGATATCACAGGTTTGACTCTGGTTTCAGCAGCAATCATCTGACAATGTATAAAATGTTGACAATCTATCAACATCTGATAATGACAGAAGACTTCATGTAGAAGGCTACATTTGGCTTTCCCAAAACTGTAGTATAAATTCAATCTAACAAGTACAGTTCTGATCGACAATTTCATAAATTCCATATAGAATACTGAGAAATTAAGAACAGGAACCTTAGAACCTAAAAGTTAAAAGAATTAATATGATTTGGGGGTCAATTTGTGATATTATAGCTTTCTCTCATTCAGTGTTTTGCAAGTGAACTTGTAATTTTTCCCACCACCCTTCCACTTCATATTTACTTAGTTCAACTTAGTTCAACTTAGTTCAAGCTGTAACAATGAGGTTATTACAAGAGCCTGCCATGCTATCACCCTCCATTTCAAACAGTATCCTCACCTACCCTTCCCTTTTCCAATCCTAGAACATATCTCAACCATTTGCAAATTCAATTCTCACTAGATGGAGGTGTGACTGCTAGACCTACTGTTGGTTAGTCATATAATACTAAATAGTTTATATCTCAAAGTCATTCTTCAGCAGTTAGATGAAGGAGTTGGATTAGGTAAACTTTAAGGATTTTACTAGTTCTTAAGAAAAAAAATCTGTCCTTTGTAGAGCATCACAGAGAATTCATTAATTTGCTTTAAACATATAATCATTCTTTAATTGTATACTTCAATAGGCATTAAAAATAGTCATGATACAGAATAACACACCAACTCAATAGATATCAATAGGCCTATATTGCAGTTTTATCATTGCACTAGCATGAATACTGAATCTCAAATCTCTTGATTTTTTGGACTCTAGTCCCTCATTTGCAAAATATACCTCTGCATTCAAAGATTTCTAATGTTTTTGTCAGCTTACCAAAAAAAGTCTAAAGGATTACAACGGTAGAAGGTAGCATAAAATATGATTCCTCTTTATATTATTGACTCTTAGGGAAATGGTGTTTGCTGACAATGGTACATAGTTGTGAAAGAGGAAAGTGTTCAAAGATATAAAAGAAATTTTTACCTGATAGAAGTAAGGGATCCTTATCTAAAGACTTTTTAACATGATCTGATTCACCAGTCAATGAGCTTTCATCAATTTTAAGATCGTTGCCTTGAATAAGTATGCCGTCAGCTGGAAGAAGATCACCTAAAATAAAAAGTAATGATATACTAAACTATAAACAAGATTACAGTAATTTTATGTTTAGTGTCAGATGTATTGCTCTTTTTACTTACCATATTTCACTTGAGCAATATCTCCAACAGTAATGTCAGCTACAGGTATTTGAATGACCTGACCACCCCTGATGACAGTGAACTTCTGTTCTTGTTCAATTCGGCTCTGCAAACCTCTAAACTGTTTTTCCTTACTCCAGTCATTGAAAGCTGTTACTAACACCACACACACTACAGACAAGAGGATTGCCGCTCCTTCAATCCAACCAGTTTCACCTTCACCTTCTTCCTCCCCAACAGAAACTTCTCCACAAACTATTTGGAAAAAAAGAAAATGCTTATCAAAAAGATTCTGAATTGATGACAACATACATATAATAACTCTAAATCATATTTTTGTGTTAATTATGTTTACTTTATCAATTTTACTTATAGCAATAAATACTTTATTAAATTCAAAGCATTCCGTAAGAACTCTATGTCACTTTCAAGTTCCCTGCTTCTGAGATTCTCAATCTCAGGAGAGGGAGGCAGTCTAGGTAGGTTACTAGTTAAGAGTAAGGACACTGAAGGAGATGAAATATCAGTCCTAAGGCAAGTTACTTATTTTTGAGACTTGGTTTCTTCATCGTCAAATTATGATACCACCAGCTATTCCAGAGTTATTGTGAGGATTAAATGTGAGGATACCGGTAAAGTAGGTACAGCAGTGGCTAAGGCTTTCTTCACACTCAACCAAGGGCTAGCCATATTATCTATATCACATGAAAAGTTAGTATTATGTGAAACCCAAGAATCATGCTTATTTACTATGTCATTTTCACTGAACTGTGATCAAAGCTTGGCTTTTATAACATGAAAAGTTAAACAAAGTGCTACTTGTTATTCCAACCATTTGAGCACATGCTAGGTGCCAGACACTATTTTAGGAGCTAGAAATACAGTAATGAATCAGACACACAAGCTCTCTCTCCTCATGGAATCCATACTCAGACTGGGGACGGTGTATGAAGAATTCAGGTAACAATACACAAATAAATAATTTACACAAATAATTTTACGTATCAACAAGTGCCATGAAGAAAAACATAGTGATGTGCTATTAAATAAGAAAGAGGGATAACTGAGGTTCAGTGAACAGAGAAGACCCCTTTGAGGTATCCATGACATGTGAACTACAAACCAAATGCTCGTAGAGAACCAGCCATATAAATCTAAGAAAGAAAGAAAAAAAAATCCAGAGAGAGATTAAAGTCAGTACAAACGGCAGAAAAGAGATCAGAAAAGGATTGGGGAGGTGGCGGGGGGAGGGGGAGAATGAGCCAAAACTCTATAGTCGATAATGGTGAAGAATAACAGAACAGTGCTTTTTGACTTCAGGCTGTAATCTAGTTGTGAGTCCAAAATCAATTCAGTGGCTCATGACCAGCATTCTGAAAAATGAAACAAATCAAAATAGAAAGGACATATATGTACTAAAGATAAGTGTTACTTCCTGAAACGCTGATTACTTATAAATTCACATGAAGGAATACAGGCTTCTGGGTTGCTATGTGAAGTTATTTCTTTATGAATTGAATTGAAATGTCTGAAAGCCACTGGTTCTCTTGAAACAGAAAGCAGGAGGATTATTCAGAAGAAAAGAAGGAGTAAATAAATGACACTAGAAATTATTAAAGCGTGTTCTAGCATGGTGAGCACAGATTGAAGAAAACATCTGAGGTGTGAGGGCGCTGACTAAAAAGCAATCTGGGAGGGAAGACAGGGAATGAAGTAAGATCAACTGGGGATGAAATGGAAGACTTGATGTGAACAGTTACAAAAAATATCCTGAGAACCACAAGCAGGATTCAATTGTCGATGTGAGGTATAAGCAGGATAATCCAACAGAACCCCCTCCAACCCAAATACCAGAATTTCTATTTTAATTATTTTCAAGCTCAAGAAATCACCATGTGTCATTATGTATAATAACCAGTTAAGTGATTTTAAGATTTACATTCGGTTTAACAGTCAAGGCTGTAAGAATGACTCTCCCCGCTCCATTCTTCCCTCTAGCCAGAAGACACGAGATTAACTCCGAATTAGAGCAACTCTGGACTCAGGATCACATGATAGAACACCATATGCTGACCACTTTCACCAACTTGGAAACAGCTAACATATTATCCAAGTGAAGCATTTTACTGGGTTTTGATGTCATTTATTACACAAAAAATGCAATACTTTACATACAAAAACAACAGATTGACATCAGACAATGGAATTTACCAGTCATATTTTAACAAATACCTTTGCATAACTGGTGGGTATCATGAAAATGAGTATGATTTAGTAACTACACTTTTCCCACTTGGATTTATATAATGTTGTGTTTCTTTTTAGCTATGAGACATTAAAGCCAATTTCTGAAAGTAATCAAACTTAGACCTAAATCAGGTTAACAATAATGTTTTATGGCTACAAGAAAAAACCAAACGTTAAATTTTATTTTATTTTTTTATTTTTTTGGAGACAAAGTCTCACTTTGTTGCTCAGGCTGGAGTGCAGTGGTGTCAATGTGGCTCACTGCAGCCTCAACCGCCTGGGCTCAAGCAATCCTCCTACCTCAGCCTCCCAAGTAGCTTAGACCACAAGGCGCATGCCACCATGCCCAGCTCATTTAAAAAATTTTCTGCAGAGATGGGATCTCGCCACATTGCCCAGGTTGGCCTTGAACTCCTGGCCTCAAGCAATCCTCCCGCCTCAGCCTCCCAAAGTGCTGAGATTACAGGTATGAGTCACTGTGCCCAGCTTTATCTTTTACTTTCAATTTCTATTTTTTCTATATGCTGAAAATATACAAATTATATATAGTTATAAATATAATTAATAAATGCATCATTTGGAGGTATGTGCTCATTTTTTCCCTGATAGAGTAAATAACCAAAAAAGTTTAAAGACCAACGCAACAGAGGTTAAGGAGGGGAAAGAATTACGGACAATTATACAATTTTCAGCTCTAAATGTGACATGGATATCCACCACTAAACTACTGAATATTTCAAAAGAGAAATGGAAACAAATTAATGACATATTTCATTTCATGTATAGTTCTCTATATCACATGGATAAGACCAAAACAATCTTGAAATAGTACAAAATATAAATCCTTTCCTACTGACAATGATTACAAATTTTTAGAGGAGTTACAGAGGAAAAAGGATCAAAGTTACAAACTGACAATAGCTTACAGTTATATACATGTATAAATATATAAAGAATTTTAACAATGTTTTCAGTAAAGTCCAAGCTCAAATATAATAATAAAAATCTGTATTATCAAAGGTGTTCTGTTGTAAATATATTCAACTGAGAGACATGCACAATCTAAATTCAGTCAATACTCTCTATCACAAGGCAAATATTCCATGTTAAAACCTCCTAGTTGAGCTATTCCTTGGGTGATGTATCAAGTTTGTACATTAATAGTACAGAGAAATAGTTCTCAAAGTGCTGTCGTGAAACCTGAAGGGGATTCCTATTTTCATAATTTGAAGACATAATTATTGGCCTCATATTTCATTAATGTATAATTTTCTAAAGATTATGTTGCATGTGATAATGTGACATAATCAATACAGAAACAGATAGGAGAACCTAGCTATCTTCAGTTAAGCTAGGCATTAAAGAGATATGACACCACTCCTTACATTATTTCATTTAAAAATTCATTACTGGGGGAACACTTTTCATCAAAATGCTATCTATGTGACTATACAATAGATTATTATCTAAAAATGCATTGATAAATATTTTGTCCAGCTTTACTGCAGTATGATTGATAAAACTGCATATATTTAGGGTATATGACAAAATATTTTGATAGGGGTACATACTGTGAAAAGATTACCACAATCGTTAACATATCCATCACCTCATATAGTTACCTTTTTTTGTGGTGAGAAGACATTGATAAATATTCAAAAATTTTTCCATTTTAATTTAGAATATACGAAATATTTACAGGAATAATTCACATAATCAAAAGCTCTTTGGAGTCCTAAATACTTCAAGAGTTTGAAGAGGTCTTGAGACCAAAAAGTTTGAGAACCCCTGTTAAGTGCAGATACCAGTAACTATAGATTTATTTATGGTTTGGGCTACAGCATATATTTTTACATTAAATAATATTAGTAAGACATTTTGATCATTTAGATTTCTATGACTGTAGATTTACAAATAGATTCCTTTTAAGCAAGTTACTACACCTCAGTGTTGACATGTAACATGACAAAAAGATACACGTAGTGTACTAATAAATGATTTTTTAAAATGCAAGGCTGGGAGCGCTGGCTCACGCCTGTAATCTGAGCACTTTGGGAGGCCGAGGCGGGCAGATCACCTGAGGTCAGGGGTTTGAGACCAGCCTGGCCAACACGGTGAAACCCCGTGTCTACTATTAATACAAAAATTAGCCAGACATGGTGGCGCATGCCTATTGTCCCAGCTACTCAGGAGGCTGAGGCAGCAGAATCGCTTGAACCTTGGAGGTGGAGGCTGCAGTGAGCCAAGATAGTGCCACCGCACTCCAGTCTGGGAGACAGAGTGAGACTCTGTCTTAATATATATACTGTCTCTCTCTATATATTTTATATATATGTCTCAATATACATATGTATATGTCTCAATATACATATTTTATTTTATATATATAATAAAAATAAAAAATGCAAATACCAAATAACTTTTCACCATGGAACAAAAAATCTTTATATGTTTCATTAAGAACTTCTAGTGAACTCTGACTCTTCTAAAAGGGCCTTACAACACCGACAGCTCTAGATTATCTTCTCAGTTGGATTTTAATACCTGTATCTCCTTTAACAAATTTAGGAAAGGACCTGTCACTACATCTTACAAAGGAAGCAGTCTGAATTCCAAAAAGATTTGTCCTGGACCTTGCTGGTAATAAACTCCACTTCTTGAAAGTATTTTTCTTTTGTTTTCTAAGAAAACTAAATTGTTCAAAGTAAAAAGCTTTTATTAATCTGCTAACTCAATTCTAGAAAACCAATACCCAATATTCGATAGTGAGAGCTAGATAGGAGGAAAACTGAAAAAAATCAGCTGTATGTTGCTTAAGATGATATGACCCCCCTTTTCAGATACACACATACACCTATGAACCATCATACATTTACATATATGAGTGCTCATAGACACATGGACACATATTTAAAATCTTAAAGGATTTGGGTATAGCAAGAATCTCTAAGAAGTGGGATTTCTACTTTGGGAGGCCGAGGCGGGCAGATCACAAGGTCAGGAGTTCGAGACCATCCTGGCTAACACGGTGAAACCCCATCTCTGCTAAAAATAAAAAAAATTAGCCGGGCGTGGTGGCGGGCGCCTGTAGTCCCAGCTACTTGGGAGGCTGAGGCAGGAGAATGGCGTGAACCTGGGAGGCAGAGCTGGCAGC